GAGACTGTGAGCGAAACCTAACTCTAAATACTTGAATATTGCATCACAGTAACTGTGTCAGTATTTAAACTTCTTTAGACTTCAAGTTAGCTTAAAACTAGGAATTAGTTTGGCACAAACAAATATAAACCTTAATTGTGAATTAAATATGTTCAAAATGCATTAAATCACTTGTTTTTACACTTGATTTTTTTTTTTTTTTTTACATCGATGAAATTACCCTTTAAACTTAGCTTAAGTTGTACTTTAACTTCTGTTATCTTTCAAAGTATAAATAAAGAAAATAAATTATAATGTACTTTCCTTTAACTTTACTGAAACATGTTAATTTGCTTAAGGGGTTTGAACTTTCTTCCTTTTAGATTTGTTGCAAGTAACAATCATGAATACCAGCAAATTAGATATATCCTTAAACACAAGCCAAAACAGTATGCAAGGGTCACAGACTTAAATCCTTAACTGCAATTTCCAAGTTAAACCACTTCTCACACCACTTGACTTAAGATGGCTTTGGTAGAGCTCTTTCTGGCCTTTACACGGAAAGCTGCACTTTCAACAAAGTCTAATAACCGTTGCTTGTGGTAGCTATGTCGACAGTGTGTCCAGGGCTTTGCTTATCTGATATGCTGGATCTTCGTCTCGTCGTTACCCGCCGTAGTCTCGTCTTCTCTCATACCCGCGCCGAGCAGGTCGAGTTCTCACTGTAGCTCTCTTCGCGACAACACAGACACAGGTCAGTTCTTTGAAACGGGCGTTTATTGCTGTGGGCACGTCTGGTCTCTTGGTACATCCAAGCTTCGTTCAACAGTTCTGTACACCGTGCCATACACCATGCCATACACCGTGAGAACTACATTGTAATGAACACAATACAAATAAACCAATACATTAGCTTAGCAGAGAAAATACAAACAGCATCCAGATCAATAAAGACAATATAATAATAATACCTCGTTGGCCGCTTGTCGTGAAAAGAGGTTACTGAATTCTTGAAAGTCTCTTGAAAGTCCATTTAACCGTCTGCATTAACTTCAAAAAGCACATTTGCAACTTTGATGCAGTTTAACAAAGCCTCGAAGCCATCTGCTCCACTCGAATCCAAAGGAAGTGTGTGTCGACTTAAACCGTCGTAGCGGTAACACATACATAAAACATTAGTTCCGGGACAAACGTAAATACACAGAATGAGATAAATACACTGTTAACCATGTCTTATTTAGCAGCTTATTTTACCCTTTAGTTCTTAAGCATGTAATATATTTTATCTTTACATTAAAACAATTTCTATTTTTTTACATGAAATTATAACAGCAATTATGAACTATGCATCATGAAAACACAAACTGTATTTATGCAACAACACTTACAATCAGTCAGACTGTTGCTGAATATCAGTCATTTGTAACCACGTTTCTGACGGAATGTGTTTCCAGTGTGAATAATTAATAAACTAACTGTTTTTCTGTCCGAATCCAAAAATCAGCTGTGTATAAGAAAGTAATTCAATGGGCTTTATTCATGAACCACAAGCACAACATTTTCTTATATAAATTGTTGCATTTGATTCACAGTAAATTGGACAGTTTAATTACAGATGGACTTAAATGATTTACTTATTTTAAATGATTTATTTCATGAATCTATCTGACCCATGAGTCATGTTGGGCGAACACAGACGTTTGCAAGTTTGGCAATCTTTGTTCTCTGATCTTGTGAGTTGTGGTTTTGTTTGTTTTTACCCATTGCTGTTGTTCTGCAAATGCTTGATGGTCTAAATGTTGTATTCTTGTGTACTGGTGGTGGAAACCACCGCTGGCAGATTATTTCCTCCACACGACACTCTCAAAGGCCTGCTGCTGCAGAGAGAGTCTTAAGTCTTAAAGGGATAGTTCACTTTGAAATAAATTTTTGATATGTTTTAGCTTACCTCAAGGGCATCCAAGATGTAGGTGTCTTTGTTTCCGCAGTAGTTTCAATTTTGATATTTTTAGGTCAAACCGTTCTTGTCTGTCAGTCATATAATGCAGGTCTATGGTCACCACCTCAAAGAGCATGCACAGAGAAGTCCAAATTAAACATGATTTAATGACTCGTAAATGTAAGTACACATTGATGGCCTAAGACACGAAACAAGCAGTTTGTGTGAGAAAACTAACAGTATTTATATCGTTTTTACCTCTTGTAAACACAGCCACGACCAAGTGATCTGAGGGCGCGGGCGCTTCGGTCTGCGCAAGCGCCGGAAAGCGCCGGAAAGCGCCGGAAGTGTGAATCCACTGTGAAGATCTAAACATATTTAGAAATCGTAATGGAAGACGATTTCGATTTATCAACAGACAACGTTGAATTTTTTTCACAACCATATTTAGATCACTTCCGGCGCTTTCCGGCGCTTGCGCAGACCGAAGCGCCCGCGCCCTCAGATCCCTTGGACGTGGCTGTGGTTATAAGAGGTAAAAACGATATAAATACTGTTCGTTTTCTCACACAAACTGCTTGTTTCGTGTCTTAGGCCATCAATGTGTACTTACATTTACGAGTCATTAAATCATGTTTAATTTGGACTTCTCTGTGCGTGCTCTTTGAGGAAGTTACCATAGACCTGCATTATATGACTGACAGACAAGAACGGTTTGACCGAAAAATATCAAAATTGAAACTATTGCGGAAACAAAGACAGTTTCTTGGCGTAAGACAGCCCTTGAGGTAAGCTAAAACATACCAAAAATTAATTTCAAAGTGAACTATCCCTTTAAGATATGGCTAGTTTCTGCTTTAGAATTTATCAGGCATAAATAAGAACAATTAGGGTGTAAACCCCTTTCTAGACCAATACATTTGTCATGAAACACTGTCTGGTGTTTGAAGTTTTTGGAAATTAAATTTATTTATTTATTTATTTTTGAAAGAAATTACTTTTATTCAGCAAGGATGCATTAAAATCATCAAAAGTGACAGGAAACGACAGGAACTGTTTTGAGACATATATAATGTTACAAAATATTTGTATTTCAAATTAATGCTGTTCTTTTGAAATTTTTAATCAAAGAATCCTGAAAAAAATCACGGTTACCACAAAAAATTATTAAGCGGCACAACTGTTTTTCACATTGATAATGATAAGAAATATTTCCTGATAAGCAAATCAGCATATTAGAATGATTGAAAGATCATATCACACGGAGTTCTTTCAAAAACTAAAAAAAAAACGTACCAACCCCAAACTTTTGAAAGTCAGTGTGTGTATACAGTATATTTAGCTTGCACGTTTACATTCTCAGAATTAAGACGCTTGCATATTTTAAATTATGCTTGGTGTACCACACTGTTTCTCAGTGCCACAATTTAGAAACAGACAATGGAAAGTTATTTATGTCATTGTTATGAAATCCAACCTCAATTATTAGCATTTAAAACCTTCAGGGTAGTCTTTTCCCATGATGAAAATATGTCTCAAATTGGGGGAACATTGCAATGAAAAAAGTTTTACACTCAAACAAAAGTTGCGATAGTCTTTTCTTCCCTATTGTGATGTAGTATATCCGAGTGAAACAGCTTCTCGAACAAGAAAAAATGTAGGGCGGGACTTGATTTGGTGACATCGGGAATTGATTGGATCATTAATGATTATGGTTTGCTATGGGTCTCATGTGAGTGACAGGTTGTCCCGACTTCGCTCCAGTAAATGCGTCATCAAAGAAGAGACGAGATGTGGAAGTTGTTTTAGTTAAAGATTAGGAGGGCACATGAATAGTTTAAAGTCCCCCTGCTGTAGTCAATAATTTTATCCCTTAAAAACTCATCTTTGATCACCAAAATTACATATTTTAAAGTTTTTCCTTGTGAGAATTTTTTTTTTCTTCATGCCAGCAATTGCTTGTAAGTAGCTTGAATGTAACTCTACACTCTTGCTTCATTTAGTATACGCGAAACTTGAATATGCAAATTAGCCCCACCTCCACTCACTCACACACACACACACACACACCAGCTCAGAGATTCACTCGGCCAAATTACTGTTGTAAACACTGCACAGCGGTATCGATCTTCTCAACGTCAAACACATAATGGGGGTTATTGACATGATTAGCCATTTGCTTGACTATGTTATCATACAGCTAATAATGTTAATGTTACACAAACCATGTTCCCATTTGCCATCTCAGAGTCAGAAACGCTTTGAACAACTCAGAACGTCAGTGGAGAAAGGCATAGTTCATCATAACATGCATCATACACCCGCTATATTGCTAAATCTACAATATTTTTAATATCAACAGAAAAATATACCGGGATAACATGGCTTCTCTCCAGACTCCCCTGCTAGTTCTCTGTTAATAATATGCTTAATATGCACGACGTGATTGGTTACAAGGAAGTTTGTGACATCAGAAACACCAGCGATTTCATACCGCATTTTTGAGTCTGTCTTTGGCTCACTGCAGTTTTAAAAAGAAAATAGTCAGCAATGATGTCGACTTATTAATTTGCACATGGTTTGTCTTAAAGCATTTTAAAATCACCACATAGACAGCCTATACATAACATTTAAAAACTTGATTTTCACCACAGGGGGACTTAAAATATATAATAATTTTATAATGAATATTTCAATATGCTGCTCATATTGTCACATCTGTGTGTGCACTATTGCTAAACCTTAGCTCACTGGCCTTGTCTATTTCCTCAGAACAAAAAGAGGAAAAGAGTCACAGTGTTATGATTAACTTTCATTTCTAAAATGTGAATATACACCGTTAATAGCAAAGGATGTCATTTACATAAAATGTATGTTTAATTAATTGGTTTAATTAAAGATTAGGAGGGCACATGAATTGTTATATATATATATAATATATTTCCCTTACACCTTAAAAAGATTTAAGTGTACAAATGAGCTTCATTGCGTCCTGCATGTTCAAGGTTTGTCTCGTTGGTCTGACACCATTAGCCCCTGCTGAATGACATAACATTACCATGGTTGTGTTTTTCTTCCACAGGAAGTCCCGAGCGTCTCTTGGACGTCTACAACAGCCCTACTGTGAAGAACACCACCACTCTGCTGCTCAGCACTGATGCTGACACACTGTTTGTTGGTGCTCAGGATGCTTTGCTCTCCCTAGACGTCAGCCAACCAGATAGTATTACATTCAAAGACAAGGTGAGAGAGATTGTGTGCTATATATTTCAGTTTACAAAACTGAATGATTTGATTATGTTGACCTTCTGTCATGAAGATCTCCTTAGATTTGGATGGAATATTACAATGTAATATTTACAGTTAAACATTTAAAAATATTGCATTTTTACAGTTGGAATGGAAAGCATCTAAAAACAACCTGCATAACTGTAAACAGGCCTCAAAAAAGGTATGTGCCATTCATGTGGAACTTAAAATTTGCTTTACAATATGTGTCATTGTCAAATAATATCTCAATGGTGTGCAGTGGTGTTTTAAAATGAAGACACAATCATCACTTTTATATATATATATATCCATCCAAGAATATCCAAGATGTTCATGTCGTCCTTTTTCAGTCGAAAAGAAATTAAACCGTTTATTAAAATTAAATTTTGAGGAAAACATTCCAGGATTTTTCTCCATATAGTAGACTTCAATGGGGTACAGCGGTTTGAAGGTTCAAATGTCAGTCTCAATGCAGCTTCCAAGGGTTCGACACGATCCCAGCCGAGGAATAAGGGTCTTATCTAGCAAAACGATCGGTCATTTTCTAAAAAAAACAAAAAAAAACATATATACACTTTTTAACCACAAATGCTGGTCTTGCACTAGCTCTGCAATGCTACACACATTGCGTAATCACGTTGAAAGGTCACGTGTGTTCCGGTTCAAAAAGGTAGGGAAGGGCGAAAAACTCCATCTCATTTTCTCCTCCAACTTCTAAATCGTCCGACATCATTGTTTTAGGTAATTTGTTTTTATTTTATTTTTTTAAATGGCGTTTGACTTGTCTTTGCACGTTCGCTTTGTAAACACTAGCTAACACCTATGTCACACGTGATCTTTCAACGTGATTACGTAATGCGTGGCGCATCGGAGAGCTTGTGCAAGAGCATTTGTGGTTAAAAATATATATAAATGTTTGTTTGTTTTTTAGAAAATGACCGAACGTTTCGCTGGATAAGACCCTTATTCCTCGGCTGGGATCGTTTAGAGCCTTTTGAAGCTGCATTGAAACTCCCATTGAAGTCCACTATATGGATAAAAATTCTGGAATGTTGGAATTAATGTTCCTTAATTTATTTTCGACTGAAGAAAGAAAGACATGAACATCTTAGATAACGTATGGGTGAGTAAATTGTCAGGAAATTTTAATTTTGAAGTGAACTAATCCTTTAATAAACATTTCATAAAAAAAGACCAAATACAATTCTATTTTGTATTTTTATACTAACTATGTAATGTTCTATTTATTAAAAACAAATTCTAAAATCCAAGATCTATTTATAAAAAAAAAAAATTATAAGCTTGATATTTATTATAACTTACCTCTTATTTTTTTTATTGTATGCTTTTCCATAACAGGATTGTTGCAACTTCATCAGGATTTTACAGTTTTTCAACTCTACACACCTTTTTGTCTGTGGAACAAATGCATATGGACCACAAGGCATCATCATTGTAAGTTCAAATAAATTGCACAGATCGATATATGAGGAAAAATTAAGTATTTCAAGAATGGATCGATCGCCACTCCTCTAACAAGACATCTCTGTTTTAGCCTGCAGATTCTCTGAACGCCAGCAGAGACGTAAAGGACGGCAAAAACTGCTGTCCCTACAGCTCCACCCAGAGGAACACAGCCACCATTGTTGGTGAGAGTGCAGAAACATAGTTTAATATCCTCGAACATAGTCTTATCTAATCTAGTGCTCTCACACACTTAACTGACCTGTTTGTTTACAGATGAAGAGCTCTATACAGCAACCAAAGTTGGCTTCTTTGGGAACAAACAAGTCATTTCTCGCTGTCACAGCAGAGGAACGCGCAACAACTTGGAGCTTGAGAATGTACCAAAATTGCTAATCGGTTTGTATTTATTGTATAAAAAATAATGCTACCATGATGCTCTGAATACCTGCTCTAACATGTACAAAGTAATAATTTGATCTTGATGGCCTAGCCCTGGTTCTTATAGGCCGGTAACACAGAGGTTGCCTTTCAGTTTCAAATCAACCAAATTTCAGAAACTTCCCCGGTTTAAATTTTTTATTTTGTTTTTCTGAAGAAAGACAAACATAAATAGTGATGAAAGCCAAAATATTAAATTTCATGGATATACTGTATATTTACTGAGTGATCCACTATTTTGTAGAGGGGGGTCAAAATTACAAGTCTTTGTTGCATTATGCCAACGGTGACAGTTCAAAAAAGGCAAAAAGCATGTCTTGTGTTTTTTGCCTCAAGTTTGCATGCCTGTTACTCAAGAAGTATTAAATATCTCTTAATCTCTTAATATCCTTTTATTTTCTGGTTCTTAACAAACTTTTCTTTTAGTATCCTAATTTTTAAAGCCCAAATGGTTCAATTTCCAGAGAAATGGGGATCTCAATGTGGCTCCATGAGTACATTGGTAAATTGTACACATTTTCAGTGGTCAAAAACCAATTGTGGGTCACTGCAGTTTGCACACAGCTGATTCTTTTTTTTCTTTTAAAGAAGAATATCTGAAGAATGAATAAGGTTGAAACTAAAAATTAATCTTTTTTTCCAATCAACACAATTGCATAGAACATAACTGTCTGAGTGCCATAAATATTTGTATGCCTGTAACCTAAAAAAAAGGTATTATAGATATCTTAAAATCCTTCTAGATTTTTATTCTTAATAATTTCTTCTTTTGTAATCTCCATTTTAAGGCCATATGGTTCAATCCCATAGATATGGGGATCCCAATGGGATGTGCAAATTGTTGAATTTGACCAATTTTCAAGGGTCGAAAACCAAATGTGGGTAACTTTTCAAACAGCTGATACGTATTGTGTTTAAAGAAGAATGTCTGAAGAACAAATTATACTGAAACTAGAAATGTATCTTGTTTCTCTCTGTCAACTAACGACTGTCACTGTTGCCATAATGCAACAAAGACTGCAAAATTCAACAGATTTTACTAATAGACCTTCCAATCTCTGTAAAAATAATGCTGCCATTTTTCTAAGGTAATTTTTGCCCCCCTGTAATTCAGCTCCAAATGATCATTTTGACCCCCCTCTACCAAATAGTGGATTACTCCGTAAATATACATCCATGACATTTTATATTTTGGCTTTCTAACTCATTTATTTATTCTAAATCAAACATTTTAGCCAGGGACCTCTGGTTGAATTGACACAGAATGACCCTACTTCATCCTTGAGCGAAACACAGAGCATTTCCACTGTAAAGTCTTTTTAGGAGTGAAAAGGGTTTTTTCTCTTTTTTTCTTAGACCCCGTATTCATCAGTTCGACACAAGTTGCCAGTGAAGGAAAGATCCTGCTGTTCTTTACTGAGGTTGGGGACTTGACCGGAGACTCACTTGTGAACTCTTTTACTGTGTCTCGTGTGGCCCAGGTCTGCACGGTGAGACTTCTTTTTTTTCTCCTATTCTGAAACATAATTCCATTATCATTAGTTTTTTTGTCAGAAAAAAATACAAACATTCAAGTAAATCCCAGTGTTCTGTTTTGCTGGTTTGCTATTGCTGTAATCTCATGTGAGTGACAGGTTGTCGCGTCCTCGTGCCAAAAAAACATGTCAGTAAAGAAGAGATGTTGCTGCAAGTTTTAATCAAAAGTTTAATTTTGATTAAAGAATATAAGGCCACAATTTGAAGAAAAAAAAATAATGTCCACTGATAATTCATTTGTAATAAATACTCCAATATTGAATTAAAAAACAAGATTGTCAATTTAGATTTCATGGTGGCTATGTGCCTAAAGGCTGGAATACACTACACTACTTTTGCCCTAATTTTCACTCCGGACTTGTCAACCCCAGTAAACATCCTAGCAAGCAATTTTGCGTTTAAAATAAGTCTAATAGCTATTAGACGTTTTTTTTTAGCTATTAGACGGCTATTGGACGTCCTTTAAACGCAAAATTGCTTGCTGGGTAGTTGCCGTAATTCAGAGCCAGTCTGCAGATTTTTTGGTAGTCAAGAGTTGACAGATTTAACAAAAAAGTCACGTAGTGTATGAAACGCTTCAGACTATATGATTCCATCCAGTTAGAGTGTATCAAAATGTTTGATATTTTTAGCCGATTTTAGATTGTGAAAGATTTTTCATAATTTCTAATTAGTCATAGAAATATTGCAAAAATAACAACTATTGTTACAACTAAATAACATATTGTTAAAGACACTCAAGAATCTCCACTGACCCCCAGCAAAATTACCAGAGTATACAAAAGATTGACTCCAAATATATTAACAAATATTATAAAATAATATTATTTATTTGTACAATGTTGTTCAGAATCTGAAGGTAATTTGAACAAACTGGTAACGCTTCCTTTTACAGTACAGTACTTACGTGTACTTACAGTGTACTTACCTAGAAAGTACTGGCTAATATAAGGTAAGTACATGAGTTAGGGGTAGGTTTAGGGGTAGGTTCAGGGTTAGTACCTAGTTATTACCCAGTAATTATAATTACTATAATAAGTACATAGTAAGTACATGGGTAACAGGACTGTAAAAGGAAGCGTTACCAACAAACTTAAAATATAAATTCTGTCATCATTTACTCAAGTTGTTCCAAACCTGTATGAATTTCTTTCTTCTGCTGAACACAAAAGAAGATATTTTGTAGAATGCCAGTAACCAGACAGTGGACGGCAGCCATTGACTTCCATAGTAGGAAAAAAATTACTATGGAAGTCAATGGCTTCTATTAACTGTTTGGTTACCGACATTCTTCAAAATATCTTCGTTTTCAGCACAAGAAAGAAATTCATACAGGTTTTGGATCAACTTGAGGATGAGTCAATTATGACAGAATTTTCATATAAATTCTTTTAATTCATCACTTTAAGTATATTTTTTACTGTTCCTAACTCTCATCTGGGTCAAAAATAAATAAATAAAAAGCATATGAATATGTTTAGTTTTAAAAGGCCCAAAAAACTGCTTTAATGGTATTTTTTTTAAAATACCAGGATGACAACGGAGGAAGCCGTGTCTTACAGAAGCGCTGGACATCCTTTGCTAAGGCTCAGCTGGTCTGCCAACAAGGGGAAGAGCTCCAGTTCAACAAGCTGCAGGATATTGTCAAGTTGTCCCCAGCGGATAATGAGTCTCCTGACAGCACCCTGTTCTACGGGGTCTTTACTTCACAATGGTGCCAATCATTTCGCTCAAACCCACCATCATGGCATATATTCACAGTTCTGAAAGGCCATGCGATTTATGTTTAAACGTTTTCTTCCCATCTTTCTCTGTCTCACAGGTCAGTTTCGTCTGGTCTGTCAGCAGTGTGTGCTTTTAGATTAGCAGATATTAAAGCATCTTTTTCAGGGGATTACAAGACATTCGATTTGAAAGGAAATCACTGGTCGCGCCATCCAAATTCAGACGGCAAACTCGGCACGGTAACTCAGACTAAGAAAGCTGGTTAGGGTTAGATTTAGGACTGTTTGTACAATTAGGCAGAAATTATCATAAATATTATAAATAAATTATTTATTTGAATAGTATTATTTGCACATTTTAATTTAATTAGATCAAAATATTTAAATGTATATGAAATTATTTAAATGATTATATTATTACGAATTATTTTCGCAATTCCATTTGCTGCCACTTGTGGCACAGATTATACACTACTACACCTTTAAATGATTAGTTCACCGAAAAATGAAAATTCTCTCATTAATTACTCACCCTCATGTCATTCCAAACCCGTAAGACTGTAGTTCATCTTCGAAACACAACCTAAGTTATCTTACATTAAATCTGAGAGATCATAGAAAAACTTCTAAAAGTTCATTAATGGCTTGTTTACACCGAGCGGTACAGTAAGATACGGGACGGCTGATCCTGCTTGCGTTTCCACCCCCAACAGTACCCTTACTTGATAGTGGTGTATGCCAGAAAGTAGCGATCCACGTCATTCTCGCGCAAAAAAGAAAGTGATCCAGTAAATAACAATGGAGGACATACAGCAGATCTTGTTCTTGCTTCTAGGCATGTGGCTGTTTGTCACAAGACAAAAAAAACATTGTGTATTGGGTTGTTGTCATTGTTGTCATTCCCCTTGTAGCACGCACAAGTGGCGATTCTTTGTCAACCAATCAACTTTCTGCAGTGAGTCTAGCTCCACCCTTTAAGTACCGGACTACTGTGCTAGGTACCCCAACGAAGGGGTCCCAAAAAAGTGGTACGGTTTGGTACTTTGGTACCATTCACAACTTTTGACAAATAAAGCAGAAATAATTGCGTACCGTACCGCTCGGTGGAAACGAGCCAAAAGAGATCGTAAAACGTATCCATTTGAATTGAATGGTTCAGTCCAAATTTTCTGCAGAGACTTGATTTTTGACTTGAATTTAGGCTTTTATTCACATATCAACATTGATCAGCGAACATAAACAGAAGCCCAACTGTACCTGTTTGACGCACAAGGACAAACCTCATTGGTTCTTGCGGAAGCTCAAACGTGCTGCGTAACATGAGAATAAACCTCGTTCGTCTATCAAATGTCTGCTTGAGCTTACATTTACCATATCAGATGTGTGCTTTGATGAATATTTATATGTAAATAAAAGCCTAAATTAAATCTGTCTCCTCAGAAAATTTGGACTGAACGGTTCAATTCAAATGGATTAGTTTTACGATCTCGTTATGAACTTTTTGAAGCGACAAAGTGGTAGTTGCGTAGCTGTCAATGGAGGGACAAAACGCTCTCAGATTTCATCAAAAAGATCTTTATTTGTGTTTCGAAGATTAAAAAAATGTCATTAAGTAATTAATGACATTTTTTTTTTTTTTTTTTTTTGGGTAAACTATCCCTTTAAGTTCATCATGAAATTATATTGACAACCCATTTTACTCCCATGTCACATTCTGTATTTTTTAATTAACAACATTAAGTTGACGTGTTGGGCCACAAAACCAAACAGCAATGTTTGGAAAGCACCACAGTGATTACACTCCTGAGGAAGTCCACAATCAATGGTTTACTTATAATATCACATTAGGGCAGGAGAATTTATTTTAACATCCAAAAAATTACTCACAGCTACTTCAACCATTGTGTAACCAATCTTCTCATCTATTTGCAGTGTGGACTGTTTAACGACACTGACCGTGTGTTAAGCATTGTAAAAACGAGCTTCCTGGCTGAAAAAGCTGTGCGTTCTGTGGGGAAGAAACTGCTTCTGTCCTCCACAGAAGAGCGTTATAGCCGACTAGCTGTTCAGAGAACTCAAGCTGCAAATGGACAAAGTTACACCATCCTGTACCTGCTCACCGGTAAACATAATGAATACTCATTTTACTGACTCAGTTTTATTTGATCCTTTTTATTTTTTCTATGGCCAGACTGGTGCCCATTTCTGTCCATTTCTATTTTCTTCAGAGTCTGGCTTTCTTCATAAAGTCGTCCTGCTGGCCAAAGGTCCTCATATCATCGAGGAGATTCAGACTTTCAAGCAACCACAGACTGTGAAGAACATCCTCCTCTCCAAAAGCAAGGTTTTAAAGCATTACTTTTTTCCTCTTTCCTTGCTTGTCTTTTTACTCTCCTGATCATTGGTACATTTTTATACAATGTCTGTGGGCTCTATTCCCAACCTAGACACTTTCACTTCCTAACTTTAAAGCAGCAGTTTAGCAATTTTTTTACTATAATATATATATATATATATATATATATATATATATATATATAATTTTAAATAGATACTTAAATTATTAATAATATAAATTATCAACATTTATCTTGCATCATCCATCTTGGATTAATTTTTTTAAAACTTACCTTTCGCATTAAAAGCACAGCTATGGCAGCAAACTAGGTCTTGGAACAGAGCCATATATATTAGATATACATATCATTAAATGGTCTTTGTAAATTACCACAGGGTGTACTGTTCATCAGCTCTTCCGAGGGCGTCTTCAGAGTGCCTGTGTCCAACTGCTCAGCTTATCCAAACTGTGCAGAATGTGTGTTAGCACGCGACCCGTTCTGTGGCTGGGACTCAGAGAACAGAGTGTGTGCTACGGTGACTGGAATGGGCTCTAACCTGTGAGTTGTCTGTTCTATACCAATATCTGATCTAATAGATGAAATTATCTCTGTTATATTGACTAAATGGGCCAAGAACCACCCACTTAAATCACAGAAGTCAGTCTGACCCAGAGTTATTTTGGTATTATATATATACTATTATAATATTTTTGAATTAGCTTTTATTTTCTTATTTTCAGTTTTCATTTTCATTTTGAAATTAAGCATTATTTATTTTGTTTTGCTATGTGCTTCTGTCATTTTTATCAGTTTTTTTCAAATGTATTTTTTATTTCGCTTTTTTTTTAACATAATTTTAATTTTAGTCATTTTAATGCTTCAGCTTAATTGATCTACCTTATTTATTAATGTAAGAGCAGCACGGCCATTAGTAACTTGAATTTATGAGGCTTCCGGTGTCATCTGTCTTCAGTAATTTTAAATATTTTGGAAGTGAAGTTTGGAAGGTGAATATAGATTATTGTATTTTGAATAATGAAATTGTGTGTGAAATGTTTTCATTTGAAATATTCACAGCTAAAATATACAACCGTGTTAAATTTCAGCCCCCAAAAATGCAAGCCCTGAAAATACAATGCATTAAAATGCAAGCACTGTTACTGCAATGCATTTTTTTTTTTAAATTAGTGCAATGCCTTTTTGTTTCAAAAACATTTGTCATTGATTTACTTTCATATTTATTTTAGTTGCACAAATACTTCTGTTAACTGTGCTTTATTCTTCCAGTAGTTATTTACCTATATAGCACATTCCAAGAAAACAGTTGCAAAATAAGGTTTTATTTCAGCTTTATTTAAATTAACAAAAACGATTTTAAATACTTTAAGTTTTTGGTCTGACCAAGATGAAATGTGACAGTTTTGTTTTTGATTATTTTGTAGAAGTGCTTTTATCTGATACCACACTACTATTCTTTTGTGTGTGTGTGTGTGTGTGTGTGTGTGTGTGTGTGTGTGTGTGTGTGTGTGTGTGTGTGTGTGTGTGTGTGTGTGTGTGTGTGTGTGTGTGTGTGTGTGTGTGTGTGTGTGTGTGTGTGTGTGTGTGTGTGTGTGTGTGTGTGTGTGTGTGTGTGTGTGTGTGTGTGTGTGTGTGTGTGTGTGTGTGTGTGTGTGTGTGTGTGTCTAAAACAGACAGCAGGATGTGGAAAACGGAAATGTCAACAAACAGTGCAAAGAGTTTAAAAACACTGCTACAGGTAAACATTTCTGTGCGACCCACAAGACTTGCATTGTCTAATGTCATATCCAACCACAGATTTTTATTTGCAACTACATGGTGTTTATTTGTAACTGCTGAGTCTGACACATTTTATCGTATCACATTTTAGATGAGTATGAAGGTGCCAGATCTTATAATGACCAACAATCAGCGGAAGTTTCTTGCGTTTGCACCATCCAGACAGTTTAAGATTACTGCGCATTGTTCTTCTAGTTATTTACCAATGGCACATTCACAGAAAATAGTTGCAAAATAAGGTAATATTTATAATATTTCTTTGAACTGAACCCTTTGTCTTTCTCCAGTGACACGGATTGCACAGTTTAATGAGATCGTGGTTCTACCGTGTCAGTCGAGATCCAGACTGGCCGAGGTGACTTGGAGGTTTTTAAACAACAGCGCCGTTCCCCAGTTTCCGTACCTGCAGCGGGCCGACGGAAGCCTGGTCTTCCGCATCACTCCAGAGACTGTGAACACCTACCACTGCATGTCGAAGGAAATGGGCTTCGAGCGAATCATTGCCGCCTTCGCTGTAAATCTGCCGATCATCCCTCGTTCTCTTCCTCCCCCATCACACCAGCAACCTGACGTCACGCTGGACTCCAGCAAGGGCACAGAAATTGAGCCCATCCCTGATTACTACACAACACTTGAGTTTGACAAATCTGATTCTGAACCTACAACAAACGAAAAGACGAATGCATTTATGACACCAGACAGGAGCGGTGAAAAACAAGCCAGGACTAACCGTGAATCCACTGTTAACATGAACACCGATGGAAAAGACGCTGTTTGCATCTCACAGAAGAGTTACTACTCTGAAATGGTTGCTTTTTGCATTTTGTTTGTCATTTCTCTCTTTGTATTCGTTGCTTTTGTGATCCTGTGGAGACAAAGCATGAGGTGCAACAAAACCACCCCTCAGAAACAACCTAAAGACACCGAGTCAGACAATATCTGGCAAACAGAACTGGAAGAAAAGAAAAGCTGAGCCTTAAAACCAGCAGAATCTGTACTCTAAGATTATGAAAAACTCAGGAGTGATTCTTGACCCATAATTAGTTTGGAAAATAACAACATTTCTATTTTGAAATTTATCAGATTTGATCGCTAGAATGTCAACAATACATTTCACGATATTTATAGTCATTTGATTTTATTTATATTTAATGATTTTAGATACTCATACTTATTTTACTTAGTTTCAGTACACAAAAACTTCATAAAAACGTTGTAAAATTGATGTGATCTAGAATCTTTATATAGCGCATGGCATGCTATGGTAAATACCTTAAGTCCATCACAGCCTCATCTTCATCCATGTAAAATTCAATATGGCTATATCTATATTCAATATAGATACTATACTTTGTATCGTATCTACTTTGACTAAGGTCTATTGTAACTAATAACACAAGAAAAGGCGAATCAGCTTTTGCATTTAATGTGTGATATTCAAAATATGTAATATTTTTCTAGTTTGAAACCATCCTACATTTTCAATTTATTTTTTATTGAAGTTGAATGCTATAAATTTGTCAATACAATACCATCCACAAAAAGAAAAACTTGTGTTACAAATGTTGTTTAAAGATATAATCTAAAAACTAATCACAATAAAAAGGTCATAAAACATCTTATTTATCATCTTATCATCTTATTTCTTTATCTGCATGTAAACATTTCAATATTTCAACATTCAAACATTTACTTGTTTCGGGGGGGCAGTTCATTTGCCCAAAGTCCATTAAAGATGTGACTAGGAATATTTTCTCTTTTTTTAGTGTTTAGGTTGGGGGGTTGTGTAAGTTTTATTTAAGGAAACAAGTTGCAGAATAAAAAAGTGGTAGTTCTGTACAGTGACGAGGATGCATAGAATGTGGTGTAACCTGTAAATAATGGGGGGACTGGGAGTAACCAATTAATCAGAGTCATAGGCCTAAATGCTACCCAATCAGGAAGTGGAGAAGTTAATGTGTGTGGCCAATCTGTACCAAGCAGTCAGATCCCCCAGGTATGAATGTGTGACAGAAATTCTGTCACTGTGCCTGAAGGGGTTAAATGAAATCGGTGGGAGGAGAAGGAAGTTTAATTTCCCGTAAGGTTTTTCTGTTGTTGTTCAGTCGGTTAATGAGGTCGCACGTCAACTGATCAGTGAATAGAATCGGTAAGTAAACAGGTTGGAGTTCGTTCTTTTGTATAGATACTACAAGCTAGTTTTCCAGCGTTGATAAATTCGTACTGCGTAGTGAACTATTAAGTTACTTAGGCCTTCGTAAATCGCTGTTATGATGGTTATTATGCCTCAAAATCTGGCTATCTAGGCAACGTTTGTGGTATTGTCGTCTTAAAATCTAGTGAGCTGCTTGCCTAGACGGCATTGTTATTATCCTAGACGGCATTGTTATTATCGCAAAAATATCTTTTGGAATACTTCCATGACTCTTAGACTTACTGTTTTGTAATATAACGTTAGCTGTTTATGAATACTGTACATCAGGCCAGGGACAATAAATGATGTTAAGATCGGTCTAGTAATTTTTCTGTGCTAAGATTATTCATATGACCTACATTTTCAAACATGTTCAATTCGAGCAATACGTAACGTTATTCAAAAATGCAGCGTGATTGACTTCCCTTTCCGTCAATGTCATAGTCACTGACTGTATACTACGGTATGTACATTGTATCAGGAAGGTGTGTGAAAACACCTGTTGTATCCCCAGAAATATATAAATATAATAACTACATAATTAAGTCTCAATTGTATAGTTTTACATTAACTTACATTGTGGCAAACATTCTTCTTAAAGGGATAATTCACCGTAAAAATGACATTTTGTTATTACTTACTCACCCCCAAGTAAGTAACCAGACTGTTGACCCATTGACTTCCATAGTAGAAAAAAAAAAAAAAACAGGTTTGGAACAACTTTAGGGTAATGACTAAATTTTCATTTTTGGGTGAACTATCCCTTTATGCAAACTAAAAAATAGGTTTGCTACTTTAATCAGGAAATGAGAAACAGGTTTGGCGTGTCCTGGTTCATGAGTTATTTGCTTCCTTGTTGCAGCATAAAAGTGAGCCTCATATTTCTGTGAGATATGGTCTCTTCAATGACTACTGAGACTAATGGAGTGAGGATAGTGACCTATGTTATTCCACTGGAGCAAAAAATGGAGTCTCCGGACCTAAAGGCGAGCTTGGTCAAACAAGAAAAGTCCAACCTGCCACCAAGAACAAGGATGTTCCTGAAGGGGAAGCCTATGTCACTGGGGGTGAGAGCTGGGCACATGCATTCAGATGCCGTTTCATACCAATATTAAATATAAGTTTAGCTTTATTGACAGCATGTTGATTAAAGAAAATAATTTGAACTCACAGAGGCTGTTATTTCAGCCTAAATCATTTTAGCAGTTTGTAAAAGATGTTCATAATTTGTGGATTTTAAATCAATCTTTCTTTGAACTTTCTCCCTCTGTTTAGATGAAAGTGATACAGTAAAGTTCGTTTAATGCGTATTTTCCTGAAGTGTGTTTGTGTTTGTGCAGTTGATGCAGGTTTTTACTGGTTTGGTAATCTTGACTCTGTGTACCATCACACTACTTGTCAACATGCTGAGTGCTGAGTTTGTAATCTGCCTTGGGCTTCCTGTGAGTAAACATTCTGAGCCCTAATAATACTCCAACATAAGAAATATTAAAATTTATATACGCTTTATAATCAATTATGCACAATAAATGTCACTGAAATATAATTGAATAAATCTGATTATTTATTGTTCATGTCTGAACATATGGACAATTGTGTTTGTCACTTTTATTTTCTGTTTTTTTTTTATTAACAATTCAATTTCTTATATAAAGAGCCTTTGTAGTTTTGTTCAGGTTAATGAACCAAATAAATTGTACATTCAAATGAAATATATTTTTGTTTTTTCAGTTTGTCATCTCTGGGTTTGTGGCAATTGCTGCACATAAGAGATCCAGTCGTTCTCTGGTGAGCAAATTCTCATATTTACTGTATATTATATTTATTTTTTAACACACTGCATTCAGTGCATACCTGGTGTGTTCAGATGTCTACAGCATCCGGCACTCTCTCTGAAGACTCAATAAATCGTCTACAGGATTTCATGAAGTGTTCAAATGTTTCTTGAAAGCCTGAAAACGCTTTCTTTTTTGAAGAAATCCAATTTTTGCTTTGTGTTTGTGCAGATCAAAGCCACACTGGCCATGAGTGTGATCTGTGTTCCTCTGGCTGCTGCAGGAACTGCATACTTCAGTTGGGAGCTCAGCAACAGACCCGGGGATGACCCTTGTGACGGCGGAAGTTATTGGTCTTGTTCAAACTTGTTTTGGAGATTTAATGTACGTCTGTATCTAGTAATGATCTCAAGCTCAAGTTTACATTTAATGAATGCTGATACATATGTCTTCCTGTACCATAATCATATGACAGATCTTGACAGTCTGTTTGCCATGTGCACATTATATTTTTTTTTTTAGAATTTGGTTGATGGAATGAGGGGTCTTCTGCTGGTGCTGTCTGTTCTTCAACTGTGCGTGTGCATCGCTATGTCCATCTTTTCCAGCCGGGCCATCCTCCAGGTAATAAGTGAACTGAATGAATATGTGTCAACCACATGACAAATTAGTGAATTATTAGTAAATGATGATATTCTGAAAACTTCAGTTCTCAGTTACCGGTACTGTTTCCATTCACAATTGTGAATTTACCTTATGCTCAAAATTGGAATATCGCATAAAACATTTACGGATAAAGCACCGTTTCCATATCTTCCATTTGCTTTCATCAAACACAACATACGTTTTATGAACTCAAAATTTTAAATGTTTTTACTTGTAGGTCCACATTCAACCGGCTTGCATTTTAAGTTAATATGAACATTGGTGTTACATAATAGTAATAGTTGAGCAAACTTTATGTTTGTTATACATTGTTTGTGTATATGTTCTGAAATGTTCTTTTACAACAAAATATAATCAAAAAGACTACATGGAGCTAAAACCCCTTTTATTTCTGAATAACAAATATTTCTATTATCCTAACTCTGCATGCTTTGACCAAAAATACTAATTATTCAAGTGATCAAACTGAGCATGCTCTGCTAGTTGAACCCTCACTACCAAACTTGACATTACAAGTGCTTGCTGTTTAAAGTTGCTCAGACTAAATGGCCGACTTTATACAATGTCAACTTTTTTATACATGCAATAATTTAGACAACCTTTAAAATGAAAGTTGGATTTATTTTACAGAGTGTTTTGCCGATTGTGACATACAGACGTGATCTAACAAAATCATCTTTTTTAAATTCCAGGATGATGAAACTGATGTTGATTCCTACGGCAGTCAAACCAGTCTCCTGAAGGATGGGGTGGATTGCGCCTCCAAACCCTGAACGGCCACACACTTATTGCCAAGGTTTAGGCAAAAGTTTAATCATCACATAACCTAAACCTTATAACATTTGCTTTGTTTCTTATGGAATTTTTATAATACAGCATAGCCATTTCCCATTAAATGGTTTGTAATTTTTGCGGTATCACCTGGTATACATACACACTTCTGTACGGGAATGTTCCGTGGGACATATAGCACACTTCTTGCTGACTTTATGAATAAAATGCACTTTGTATTTCATTATTGCTCTTGCATTGTTTTGAGGACGATCTAACTATATTAGCGTTCACAGCAACAGATGTGCTGAAGTCATTGTTGATTATAGCGCTTGTTGAGGTTCTGCCACTTTAAATTTTGGCACTTTTAAGGTACAGTGGGTTCTGATTGGCTGTTCGCTATTCTCATAGAATTAGAACAATTATTAAAAGTTATCCTTGTTAGTGTGTACTTTTTTTCATAAAATTATATGAAAATATATTTTTGGAACATTTCATATTAAAAGCATTCAATAAATGGTTTCAGAATTATAAATGTATAAATAATTTTTAAATTTGTAGTGGAGTCAAAGTTTATGTAGCTAGCACAATCTTCTCAACTACTATTTACAGGTTTTTTGTTTTGTTTTGTTCGAACAGCCTATTTAAAGTGGATGTGCTGTCTCTACCCTTCAGAGGCTGGGCTCATGAATATTTATTATCTTGTGTTAGGTAATCGACTGTTCAGTCACGTATTTTGGAAATATTCACAGGGCTTCACCTGATACTATTCATAAATATCCTGTATGCTGTAGTTTTTTTTTTCTCTATTTCAACTTTTTGTCATAATGACTTTTTATGGCATAATTTTGACTATCTCATAATTATAAGCATGATATTATTTGTTTTCTTATCTGGCATAATATGGCTTCCATAAATTAATGTTTGAATGACTCTAAGAAATTAGAACAGCAAGGTTGGGAGAGTGTCTCAAAAATTAATTTAATTGTTTCATATAACATCAAAGTTGTATTTGCCTAAGGAAGTAATCATAGCAAAAACATGTTGCTTGAGCATTTTTCTTAGTATTCTATTCTAAACCAAAACTTTCTATTCTAAGATGATGACTTAGTATGTCATAGTTTTGACATTTATCTCATAATTATGACTTTTTAATGTTATAGTCATGATTTACAAAAGTGCTTTTTTCTTATGTGGCAGAAAGGAGGGGCGAGGGGCAAGACCTGTTCCTGGATCAACATTCCTATCCAGAAATTGTGTCCTAACACTGTCCCTACTACAGCTAAACCTTACCCACAACTTGCCCCTAAAATCAGAGGGAAATGACAGGTGAATAACACTGATATAGACGCACCTAACCCTGCTTGTAAGTCTAAACTTGATATAAACTGTAAACTTAAATCTGATTGGTTGATTGGGACGTTGTTCCAGGATCAACAAGTATTTATTGTCTATTTTTTTATTATTATTATTTACAGAAATTAGGAATGTCCATCATTAAAGTAATTAATTAAAACAATAATAATAAAAAATTACATTTTAGATTTTCCAAAAATTACAATTTAGATTTCCAGAAGTTAAGAAATTTCATGATGTTTAGTTGTTTTCTTATTTTAAATCATTTTAAACCATCTTGAGGTCCCCTTGGAAGTTTGCTGAGGCCCCCTAGTGGGCCCCGGACCCCTGGTTATAAAACCACTGCTTTACTAAGACATACCATAGCCCATATATGCAATACATTATTTAGGAAGAAGATAAACAGATGTTTCACGAATTTATTAGTCAGCACAGTTTCTCAGAGCACACTCAGCTCTTATGCTTTACATAATTCATAACAGGGTTTAAAATACCCCTCTTTCGAACGCGTGCAAGGGTGTTTTCTAGAATAAGGGCCGGTTGGATGAGTGAGTTTTGCTCGGGACCGAGCCAACCTGGATTTCTCCTTTAGCCGCCGCCTCCCCTCATGACATCAACACTGCGGAGAGCCGCGCGCGCTCAGACTCTGCTGCAGAACGCCAGTGCGCAAAGGTAAGCGAGCGTTCCTCATCACACACGAGCGTGTTAGTACACATAAATAGTGTGTGTATGGAAAATATTATTCTCAATATGCATGGAGAATGGATTAGCTCGTGTCCACGCCATACCAGCATGTTTTGTTGACGCATGCTGTTGTGATTGTGTTTGCAGCGGATCGTGTGCAATTGATGAGTGATTGGTGATCTATCAGGATGTCGCTGTACGGGTCTCAGATTAAAGCTTTTAAGAGCGCAGAGCCCAAGACACTTGGCGTGAGTTTCACTACAGCACACTATCACATTATTATATCGATAATCGCTGCTGTTTTATCTCTATCGTTACAGATGTTTGATCAAATAAAGCCATGCTGGATGTTATAGACTGAGCAGATTGTTTGCTTATTGTTGGAATGCTGCATATGAGATTTTAGTCATTCAATCGGTGGTTCCTATAGATGATAATATTTAGGTTTAAGTTTAATATAAATGCACAATGCACACGTAGTTTATTTATTAAAAGACATCTGGCCAACATCCAAGGACACACCCATATCTGAGAAGAAACGCATACTGACAGACTGAACTCAGTAAAATAATGTTAAAACAATTATAAATTGAAGAATTTTTTTGGGGTATGCCAGTAAAGTATTTTATCTTGATTAAAAAAAAAATTATTACATTACGGTGGCTTAACACAGTCTTGTTTTAATCAAGAATAGAATTAATCTATATATTGAGAGTATACCAACACACACAAGGACTGACCAAACTGCAGTTTGTTTGCCATTCTAATGTTTTCTTTGCTTTGGTTTAGGCTATTGAGATCGTAATTGGAGTGTTGACTGTCATTTTGAGCTCAGTTGTGTATAAGCTGCACTATCATATCCAGCGTGAAATCATCATCCTCATCGTCAACGGTGCTCAGGTACAAATACACATACATGTGGATAGATTTGGGATGTTTAAAATCAATAATGTGATGGCATTGTTTCCTACAGCTTGTCGTAACTGGTGTTCTCCTGGTGCACACTGGGAGGAAGCCAACTAAATGCCTGGTATGAACACACAAATATTAAAATCATCTGAAAATAAGAAAGTTAGCTTATTCACTTAGTACACTCTTAGAAGAAAAGGTTCTATATAGAACCTTAAAGGGTTCTGTCAAGTGCTTCATATAGATAGAACATTTTAGGGGTTTCCATCATGGGATCATTTTAAGGGTTTAGTTTTAATTAATTTATTTTGTTTTAATTAATTTTTTATTTGAATTAAATTCTGAATTAAACAGCTTGGAAACATACATTATCTCTAGACATTTCTCTTTATATAGAGCCACTTTGGCATTGAGTCAAGAATCTTAGGGTTCTACTGTATATAAAACCCAATTGAACCTTTTTTGCTAACAGTGTTAGTACAGTTAGCAAGAATTATTTGGCTCTGAGGGTGTTTACACGACAATGATGTACTATAAACGGAAACGTTTTCCCTTTGCGTTTTTGAAAAGTTTCTCATACAGACGATGCATCAAACGATCCATGTTCACACGGATCCTTGAAAACTAAAAACGCTGTATTATGCATGCCAGGCCAGTAGTTGGCGATGTCACTTTGTAAAGAAACACAACGCGCCTGTGCACACGCATGTAAATAATGCGTTTCTTCTGGTCGTAGTAGTGGTGCCACACTGCTGAAGAAGCGTTTATAAACTCGATATCTTGAGCAGCACAAATGTAACGTAGGCCAGAAAGAGCTGTGTGTGCAAACCTCACTCCCCTGGCCTCAAGAGGTGTACTGGTGACTGACGCTAGCAGCTGCGGTCTTTAACATCCTTGTTAGCACACCCGCCTCCCACGCCGGAGACCCCAGCTCGAATCCTGCACGGAGCGGGTCGGGTAGGACCTGTTGCATTTGGTGCCGTGACCCGGATGGGAGTGAGGTTTAGAGGGGTGAGTGTAACGTAGGCCAGTTAGAGCTGTGTGTATAAACCTCACTCCCCTGGCCTCAAGAGGTGTGCTGGCGATTGACGCTAGCGGCTGCAGTCTTTAGCGTTCTTGTTAGCACACCTGCCTCTCACGCCAGAGACCCCAGATGGAATCCTGCTAAACTTGAGTAGGACCGGTTACACAAACACAGTCCTATAGTCCGCCATTGTTGTTTTGGTTGTCAAGTACTCGCGCATGCATAGACTGAACACATAATACGCATGTATTTTGTATTTTTCACAAATTCGCGCTTTTGTAGTTTACATGGAGACGATAACGGTACAAGCTTGCGTTTTCAGACCCCCAAAACAACGTTGTCATGTACATGAACGCATAAAAAGTTTTTAAACTGAAAACGGTGTCGTGTAAACGCCCCCCTGAGACTCCAAATATATCGATTAATATTAAAACCTATTCTTGAATGCATATAGGAACTTTTAAACGACTGCAGTCAGTTGACACAAATCATGTCAGTCTTTCTCTTCTCATTTAAAATCCTTTAAGCTCCCTCCGTCTGAAAGGACCTTGCGCACCGTCCTGTATTGACCAAATTAAGTGCAGGCTCAGCAACAGTAGTCTCTTGTATAGTCAAACTTCTGATGAGAAAGGTCTTTACATATTTTTTTTACCAAGAACCGCCCATTTAGATTGCAAGACATTATTTGACTGGCATGTGAAGTGACCAATCACATTTGATATTTTTACATGTCCTTTAGAGTCAGTGGATTTTCCATTATATTTTTTACCATTCATTATCGGATTCGGAAGTGAGATTATTAGAATGAGATTGGAAATAAGATTATTTATTGTTGAAGTACATGTCCGTTCATTTGTCGCAGGTGCTGACAACCATTGTTCTGCAATTACTAACAGCAGCATTTGATATTGTTGGATTTGGGCTCATGGCCAGACACATCCCATTCAGAGGAGAGTCGTACTACTACAGGGACACAGAGGTAAACAAACAGAGACGCCCCATCCTGCTCTCCCTCGAGCCAAGACACCTTCATTCCCACAAGTGACTGAAGATTACTTTACTATAAACAATATATAGTAGGATGGGACTCAAGGATGTCTTCAGCTATTACAAAAAGGGAAAATGTTATACTTCAACCAGACAACTTGCTTTGTTCAAAAAATGATTTCAAATTTTGAGAGCTGACAGTTTTAGTTCTGTCTGTCCTGTACAATGAATCTGAAAAGCCGATGATTTTGAGAGTAGGAATCAGGAAGCTGTACATCGATCTGAACATCGGTCTCTGTCAGACGGCAGACTGTGGTTGAGTGTGTGTGAGCAGAAAGAGAGATGTGACTCCAGGCTCTGTCCTGCTTGTTTCAGTGGTGTTGTGACCCACTTCACTCTGTTTGGGCTTGCTGTGGAGAAGGAGAGAAAGGGGGACATAAAGAGGTGAGTCACATTACAAGCTTTACGATGCAGCTGGGAACACCACAAACACATCCTGAGACTCCAAGCAGGATTAAAACTCTAATTCGGTTCAAGAAGAATGTAATCTGAATCACAATTTAGCCTAGTGGTCGACTGATGTGAGTTTCTCAATGGCAGATGTTGTTGTTTCTAACTAAAACGATTAAAAATCATAAAGTGACGTAGTTACACTTTACTACATGTACTTACTATAGTAATACCAGTAAATTATGCATAATTACAAGGTACTAACCCCAAAACCTAACCGTAACTATTGTAAGTACATGTAATTAATTAATATTACTCAATATTAATTGAGTAATATTACTTATAATTAACATAATATTATTAAGTAATATTAGTATTAATTGTACTTAACTGAGTAATTATTATGTAACTGTCTCCTTAAAATAAAGTGTAACCAAATGTTATTTTATTATAAAACTTTAAGCCGAAGTGCACACTACAAAAACTAACTTAAATAAATTAAAACTAAATTGAACTAAAATGAATAAAAATAACAAGAAAATTACTAAAAATTAATCTAAACTAAAAGTATTTTTAAAAAGCCAATATATTATAGCAGTATATAAATAATACTAAAATAACACTGTGATAGCCTAGGCCAATGTGAAAATAGACAAATATCAAACTATCACTAAATTAGACTTTTGAAATATTATTTAATTGATTCATTGAAGTATAACATTTTCCATTTCCTTCTCTGTTTATATTTATATCGTTTTTGTGCCATTAATTTGCATGTGATTATGATTTACCATGTAAAAAGACATAAATACAGTGGTGTTGAACTGTTGGAATATATTATGGTATTTGTGGTTTGTATTACAGTTCTTAGTGAATGGGATCTTGGGAACACTAATCGGTTTCCTGGTGCTAGCATGTATTATCGGTTTGGTTGTGTCTCTTTTTGGAGTCTACGCACTCTCTGTTAGTGCCATTAAGGTACGTAGTTCAGCACTGCTATTAAAGATAATTATGTTCTGTTCCAGATATCTATTGTTTTTAAGGCTAATTTATGAAACTGACTGTCAAATTGACTGTTTTCTCTTAGGAAATGACACCCATCCCTCACTCTACTGCAAACCAACATTATGGTGCTGGCGTTCAGGTCCAGAATGCGATCCATGCTGGGAACTGACAAAATAAGAAACATTCAGAGCAGAAGGGTACAGTTTTAGCACAGTTTTACACCACCTACAAAAGAGGACTGTTTCACCTACAAACCACTCACAGGTAAACAACCACAACAACAGAAAAAAAAAAAGAGAAAAAAAAACTTTTGTGATGTAAATAATTTTTTGGAAATAAAATGGATAAAATCTCGTTTTTTGCTTAGCTGTTGCTCTTACAGGCTGTAGGACTGCTGTAATTTCGAATGCTCAACTTAAAAGTTATTCGTACCTAATTCATTTTTGCTCTTACAAACTTCTGAAGCTTCTTAGCATGTAACTAAGCAAATGTCTACCCAGAAATCTTGACCAGAATCCAACAATGTTATAGATGTATGTTAGGGGGGTAAGTGTTTATCGTTCTTAGGATACGTGAAATTCAGCTTTAGGTACATAAAAAAAACTACGGAAAATGAATTATGGTGAATGGGAACGGTAAGATGGTTCTGTGATTCTGACTTGTTTTGTAGCATTTTGTACCACCTTTTGCATGAATCTTTATGGGCCGACATATGGGGCAACATTTATCAAGTTGATATTTGTTCGTTTGAAATGCAATTTGAAACCAAAAAAATCTAACAACATTGTAAGCTGGCCAAATAGTTATAAACACAAAAAAATCATGGCTTGATAAATGTGGCCCATGTACAGTGAAACTCCTCTAAAGCAGAGTAGTGAATTTAAACACCAGTGAATTACTAAACAGCATCGCTTGGCTTTTTTGTCATCTCGTTTTATCCGTACTGATTCTTCAGGAAAGCTATGATGACTGCCAACTCTGTAAGTGCCACCACTTGTGACCAAAATCATGGACACCCTAATGACTAATGGTCAGAGGTTGAACCCTCAGTCAAGGGCTCGACTTTGGTGATGTAAAATCCTCTTGTGGAAGCATGTGTCGTTCGTTCTGTGTCTGTAGATCTTTGTCTTTATGACAGCATGTGAGATTTACATTGTGCCTGTTCTCTGTGACCTCTTGACGTGTAGTAAAATGAAACCATGTAGTATGTAGTTATATGGCTGTGTTTGTGTTTGTATTTGACTGAATGATATTTCAAATAAACATGATTTAATACACATTCGGATACTCTCATTTTATTGCTTTATTTGTCACAGTGCACAATCAAATCAATAGACATGAAAATAAACTCTCAGCAAATAATTGAGAGTACAATTTAATTCAGAAAATGGGTTTCAAAATCTAGATGCATTTTTTATAGAATTTGTACATTACTAGCTTGTTTCCACCACGGAATAAAAAATTAAAAAGTTAATTTAACCTCTTTTTATCTCACAATTCTGACTATTTTCAATTGCCAGTTTATATCTCTCAATTCAGATTTGTGCAGAATTGCGAGTTTATCTCGCAATTTAGACTTAATCCAATAGCATTTACACTGCCTCTGGCGGTCAGTAGGAATGAAACAGAACTCGCAATTGCAAGTTTATTTCCCACATTTCTGAGAAAAAAAGGTAGGTAACCAGAAAGTTGACGGCACCCATTGACTTTCATAGTATTTTTTTTTTCCTACTATGGGAGTCAATGGCTGCAGCAGGCTGCCGTCTGGTTACCAACATTCTTTAAAATATCTTCTTTTGTGTTCAACACAAGAAATAAACACATGCAGGTTTGGAACAACTTGAGGGTGAGTATAATGCCAAAATTTTCAATTTTGTGTGAACTATCCCTTTAAGTCTGGGAAACCGGTGGATAAACTTACAATTGCGAGTTAAGTCAGAATCAAGGTTCGGTAATTCTCCCTCTTGACTACCTGAAAGAACTGTAAAAAAAATATTAATTTAATACTTTAGTAATAAAAAAAAAAGTCTAAAAAAAGACTTTTATTCTAAAACATTAGAATACGTCTTTCGAGTTGACCCGTTCTCTAAGCTCATGAATATTTATTACGTAGTATTACGTTGGCTCAGTATTTCTTCCTGATTTGCCGCAAGGTTTCTAAACGAATTAATAACACAGTTAATATTTATAGATGAGTCGTACAGCCCTTTTACAGTAAATAGACTTTTATTTTAAAACATCAGAAGCCATTTTCCGTAGGCTCAGTTCAGTGTTTGTTATGGTCTGGGGTTTGGGTTCAGAGTCTTGACAGCATGTTTGTGTCTCTGCTCTAAACACCCATTCATGCGCTCTGACGATCTCCTGGATAGTTAAGTTGTTCACCCTACTAGTACTAGTACTGTATGCAATACAATGAATGTTTTGTAGTGATTTGTCAAATCATGAATGAAAAAAGTTAATTATCATATTCTGTGGTGATGTCTACACAGTATGGAGAAGGTGCGAAAGATTGTAGTTCATCTGTCGAAGGAAACCAAAAACGCCGCTCCGCAGTGCGCTCGATTCGTGCAGGTCAGCTGAACTCATTATTCCACATCACTTTACAATAAGGTCTCATTAGTTAACGTTATTTTAATGCATTAACTTAATAATGAGCAATACATTACAGTAGTTATTAACGTCAGTTAATGAAAATAGAATTGTTCATTGTTAGTTCGCGCTCAGGTCAATCAAATAGCCTAATATTAACAAATACAACTTAATCTTAATCATGTATTAGGAAATGTTAGTTCATGTTACCTTCTGTAGTTAACTAATGTTTACAAATGAAATATTATTCTAAAGTGTTACCAAATATGCATATAATTCTTAATTAACTTCAAAATGTCAAATTATACATCATTATTTTTAATTACAATCTATTTAAAACAATCCTATATGATAGTACCAGGCCATTTGTGGGCATCTAGAGTTGGAAAAACCATTTAAATATTTGGTAACACTTTACAATAAGGTTTCAGTTGTTAACATGAACTAAGATTGAACAATAACTCTACAGCATTTATTAATCTTAGATCATGTAAATTTCAACATTTACTAATACATTATTAATATAAATAATTCATAATTTTTATATTAAAAATTAAATAATTACCTTATAACAAAGCAATAGAAGTCTATAGTATGTGCTTATTTAGCTGGATAAACACACAGTGTGTATTTTTTTTTTCCAGAGCATAACTGGACACTTTGTCGGGAGTGAGGATCAGGTAAATGTGAGCTGTTCTTTGGAGAATAACAGATTTATTTTATGTGACCGGTTGTGTGATGGAGCAGTTCCTCTGAAGGTGAGATCACACTGAATTTATTTTATGGCCTTTTCAGTTTTGTTAATTGACTCCAGTTAATACAGGAAATGTATTTGTGGATCAAACTCATTGTCTGACCCTAGAGGGCGTCCTTTTGCCCCATCAAATACCTGTCTCACTCAGAGGCAGTCTCCCTGCCTCCAGATACCCTCAGGCGTGGGGTAGACGTGGCCGTGGCTGTGCTGCTGCAGTCCGCCGATCAGAAGCTGTTGCTGACGCGTCGTGCCTCCAGCCTCCGGATCTTCCCCAATGTTTGGGTTCCGCCCGGTGAGTGTCATTCCGTACCGACCCAAATGATTCTCTCAAATTAACACTCACTCAAATAAGCTTGAACTGGTTCTAAAGACACCATTTTAAACGGTTATTTTAATTAGTTTTATTATGTTTTTACATTCCATCATGTCAGCTGAAATTGGCTACAGAAATATGGCCAGCATATGTGTGTGAGAATACTGTGGTGTTCAAGACTAATCATGGATTTAATTTGTTTGTTCAGGAGGCCACGTGGAGCTGGATGAAAAGGTACATTTTGTATTGCATAAACAATGAGCTGTCACTCAATCATATGCATATATGTATATATGTACATATATATGCACACACTACCATTAAAAACGTTGGAGTCGGTAAGATTTTTTTTATGTTTATTATGTTTCCTAGTCTTGTTTATTTATTTGACCAAAAATGTGGTAAAGACAGTAATATTGTGAAATATTGTTGCAACTATTAATAACTGTTTTCTATTTGAATATATTTTAAAACGTTATTTATTCCTGTGGTGACAAAGCTGAATTTTCACTTCAGTCTTCAAAGTCACGTGATTTTACGGATTCTTTGATAAATAGATTTTTAAAACAGTATTTATTTGAAATAGAAATCTTTTGTAACACTAAAAAATGTCTTTACTGTCACTTATGATCATTTGAATGCATCCTTGCTGAATAAAAGTATTAATTTCTTTAAAAAAAATCTTACTGACCCCAAAGTTTGGAGTGGTAATGTACATTTTATAATTATATTTCATTTCGAGTAATTCTATGTAATGTAATGTCTTTGTATAATAATATAATAATGTCACTGTGAATAAGAGTGAGTTAATTCTGAACGAATCAATGACTGAATGAGTGATTTCTTTGTGTGTGTGTGTGTGTGTGTGTGTGTGTGTGTGTGATCTAGCTGTTGGATGCAGGACTCAGGGAGCTGCAGGAAGAGACTGGTCTGAAACTGAGCCCTGATGAGTTCTCCTCTCAGCTGCTCGGCCTGTGGGAGGTGTGTGTTTATAGCACGATGTTTTCGTGAGACATGCAGCCAAAGTCCAAAGGGACCATTGCGCAGAGACGCTGAATTTGACAGACCGAAGCCGATTGTTTGCAAACCGCAATTGCGTAACATGGAACAGTCAGGCCTTGCACACATCTGTTGTCTATCTGAAAGTTTTAATCATTGAAATTAAGCTGTTAGCTCAAGATGTAAATCTAATCAAGCTGATCCAGAGGGTTTACTTTAATTTTCACAAAACAAACATATGAGATGGTAAAGGAATAGTTCATCCAATGATGTTGTCGTCATGTCCTCATCTCCATGTTGCAAGGTTTTATTATTTTTTTCCATGAACATGTAGTCTGAATATTCGAGCTACTCTTTTCCATGCCTGGAAAGTGAATGAAAAAGGACATTAAACGTTGAGTATATGACTAGTGTGTTTTATTCCAATACTTTTGGAGCCAAATACTAAATTTATGTGAGGAACAGACTCAGTTCTCTGATAATCTTCATCTCCCACGTAACTCTCAAATGTTGCGGGTTGCATATAATCGAACTTTTTTGGCAGTATAAATCACCATCCACTTTCATTGTATTGAAAAGAGAGGCTCGAACATTCTTCCTAACATCTCATTTTGTGTTTTATGGAAGATAGAAAATAGTTAGACATGATGATAACTAGAATGATGCCAAAAACATAATTTAAATAAGATAAATTTACACTTACAATTTAAAGTTTGGGGTCCGTATGATTTAAAAATCAGTAAAAACAGTATTATTGTGAAATATGATTTCAATTTAAAATATCTGTTTTCTATTTCGGTATTTTTTTTTATGTAATTTATTCCTGCGATGACAAAGCTATATTTTCAGCATCATTACTCCAGTCTTCAGCGTCACATGATCCTTCAGAAATCATTCTAATATGATGATTTTGTGCTCATGATTTTTTTTTTTTGAAACCATGATTGACATTTTTTTCAGGATTCATTGAATAGAAAGTTTAAAAGAACAGAATTAATTTGAAAGACTGTAGAAATCATTTGTCACTTTTGATCAATTTAATACACCCTTGCTGAATAAAAGTATTAATTTCCCTCAAAAAAAATCTTATTGACCCCATACTTCTTTAAAAAAAAAAAAAAAAAATTTAATGGTACTGTACTTTATTTGAATATTCTCTGTCCAGTCAGTGTATCCGCCCATGTTGTCCAGAGGACCGCCTCAGAGACATCACGTCGTGACGTACATACTCCTGAAGAGCTCTCAATCACACCTGCAGCTTCAGGTACAACTTTGGGATATCAACAGATAGAAACATGTTTACAGATTACAGCGGCTGTTTTGAGGTCCATGTGCTCCATAAGGTCTCTCTCCTTCTTTCTCAGGCTGGTTTGCACCCAGATCCAGCTGAAGTCAGTGCGTGTGTTTGGGTCGATGCAGGTCTGGTGAAAGTTGTGGTGTCTGCTGTAGATGGTGAGAAGGATTCTGTTCGAATGCCAGCTGACCTGCCACAGACCATCAGGTATGGAGAACTTTATTCATCTCTATTAATATGAAATCATAGTCAGAAAAATCTCATTTTTTGAAATGGAAGTACATAAAAAAAAGTTTAGTTTTTCTTTTATCATATTTGATACATCAGGCTTTTATGACTCATATGGTATGATATAGGAGAATATTATGGAAGATTGTTTCCGCCACTGAATACAAAATAAAAAAGGTAATTGCGATTTTTTTTCTCTCGCAATTGCGAATTTACAGAATTGCGTGATATAATCTCACAACTGAAAGTTATAAATTCAGATTTGCGAGTTATAGGGCTAAATTTGCAAAGATATAAGCTCACAATTTTGCCTTTTTCTGACAAATCCGAGTGTATCTCGCAAATCTTTTTTTCTCACAATTCTGATTTTATGACTTGCAATTGTTAGAAAAAAGTCAGAATTGTGAATGATTTTCCAAAAAATTATGGATAATCATGGATAGTCAAGCAATCCTAATTTGTTTTAGTCCAGTATGTGAAATACAACTGTATTACATTTATTCTTACATTTACTTTATAAAAATCACTAGAAGATTTAATTGAAAAAAGACACGTGTACTACGACCTGAAGGGGGACGTTTTTAGAATTATACAAAAAGGCCTTTTACTTGCTAAAAAGTATAAACTCTCAATGAGAAGACAGAACGACATGTAGTAGATTGTGTACATCAGGTTTTTCAGCAAAGTTTTGATCGTGTTGGTAAAATGATACAGTAGGCTTTACAGGTTTAAGTATTTGTTCCATTGTTTTGAATGTTCGTTTCCTGTACGTTGTTTGTTGTCAGTGTGACAGAGGTGTCTCCACACGCTGAGCTGAGCGAGACCTCACTGCCCGTTTCTTTGTTCTGTAACCGGGCCCCGGATCATGGCGAGGACATTGAACGAGTCAGCACCGGAACCAAATTTGCATTAGAACTGTGGTTGAAAACACTGGGGCCTCAAGCTGAGATGGACTGACGATGACTCTCTGCCAGCTTCTGTTTATGTTCGTTACCATTTAACCAGTGCCTTGAGGAAGACAGCACCACCTGCTGGACCGGAGCTATTTAAGCAATGCATGTTATTCAGGAACAACATTCAAATCTAAATTTTGCCAAAAAGTTTCAAAAGCCTTAGAATAACTGTATCACGAGAATATGTGGTATTTTTATTTAACCCCTGTCAGTGCGCAACATTTGTCAACATTTATTTTGAATTACAACCGAAACAACTGTGTCCTCTCTGTTAAAGCTGACACATTAAAGTTGGTTTAAAGGTAATTTAAATAATTAAAATCTGAATATTCGCTTTGACTCTTTTTAACTCCATAATAATCAAACACTTTCATATGCAGAATAAATTAATCATGCCAAATACACCTATTAATGGGATATAATCAAGTGTGTGTGTGCGTGTGGGTATGGGTGGATGGATTGATTGATTCAGGGTCAGTGTAACCAGAAGATTTGAGACTAAAATATGAGAAAAATGACAAATTTCGTCACAGATTACACTTGACCACAAAGATAAGCTTCAGAATTTCACTTGCTGCCCTTCCTAGTCTATCACATTGTGTTCTTGCTGTTCAAATACTCCATATCTTGATTTCTCTATCAGGATAATGCCTGGGACATTTTTCTCCTCTTTGCTTTTAAGCAGAAATTGACCTGAAGTTACAGAGTCCCTCGACCAACTACTTCTGTTCAGTTTATTCCATACCGAGTTTGTCACCTGATGCACAATCATGAGCCACGTGTTTGTGCTCTTTCTCAGGGCCAAAAATTATGCTTCACTTACTATGGGTTACACTATCGCTCTACATTGAAATTTAAACATGCTGTATGTGTTGCATTATGTGACTCATTTCAGCTCAGATTTTTTTACCTCAATCCTCTCCAGAAAACAAACTAGTCATCCCACGGCCATTTTCAGAAACTCTTTTTAATTTCACTGAATCACTGTTAATACATCACATCATTCAATCCATGTTTAAACGTTACAAAGTACATTGTGCAAAGGTATATTGTAGGAAAATAAATTCGAAATAGATGGTAATGGCATGTAAAATAATTTCCCTGTCTGTTCAGCTTCCTGCAGTGCAGTGCCGGTTGTATGACAGTTATTCTTCCAACAGAAGTTTTCCTCAGGTCTTGTTCTTCACACGTGGAGGGAGTGACAGTGTTGGGGAGTCAGAGAACCTGAATGATGGAGTCTAAAAAATGTGAGATTGAGCTCTGTTGGGTTTGTTAAGTGTGTCATAGGTACTGCTGCATGTGTGTTTTACTGTACCTGTGTCCATCATTTGTTCACCACGTACATTCCTGTCCGGTTTTTCGGGGGTTTTTCTCTGGCGTCCTGTTATTAACAGAGTCAGTTATCATTACATGTATGCACACCATAATGCCAATTCTGAAAATAAAACAATGCTTCCTTCAGCATAAGACATCAGTGTCAAAAGTAACCCCCTTTATATATTTTGATGATGTTTGAACTCTTTATTTACTCTTTTGTTTTTAAATATATAATATTTTGTTTATTTTATATGATTATATGATTGATTTATTAAATTATTTTTACTATTGTTTATTATCATTTTTATTTTTATTAGTGCTGTCATATTGATTAATCACATCTAACATAAAAGTTTGTTTGTATAATATATGTGTTTAATATAACATTAATATTAAATGTCTTTTGGCGCACCAGGGTGACTAGGAACATGAAATTGTCTAGCTATGACTGGTTTCATAGGAGTATAAATATGACGAAACACAAAGGCCAAATTCCCTTAATCATCCATCACAATGAGTAAAACCAAAGAATATAGTTCTGATGTGCAGCAAATGATTGTTGAGCTTCACAAAATAGAAAGTAGCTGCAAGAAAATATAGCTAAAGCATTGAAAATTCCCATTTCCACTATCAGCAATAATTAAGAAGTTCCAAACAACTAAAGATCTGCCAGGAAGAGGACGTGTGTCTGTATTGTCTTAATGCACGGCGAGGAGGAAAGTTTGAGTGGCCAAAGAGTCTCCAAGGATCACAGATGGAGAATTGCAGAGATTACTTGAGTCTTGGGGGTCAGAAAGACTAAAAAAATCAAACAACCCCTACATCACCACATGTTGTTTGGAAGGGTTTCAAGAAAAATCCTCCGCGCTCCTCCAAAAATAAACTTCAGCATATTCAGTTGTCAGACACGACTGGAACTTCAAAAGGGACCGGATTCTGTGGTCAGATGAAATTAAAAAGAGCTTTTGGCAGCAAACCCACCACAAAATGAAGTTTATGCCATGGCCATTCTAGTCCCCAGACCTGAAGAGAAGAAGCGCCAACATGGATCTGTGAATCTGAAGGATCTTGAGAGATTCTGGAGGAATGGTCTCTTGTCAGGTGTTCTCCAAACTCATCAGGCATTATAGAGGAAGACTCAGAGCTGTTATCTTGGCAAAAGAAGGGTTAATTGGAAAAAGTATTTAATAAAAGGGTGCCAACGTGTTTTGGAGAAAAGCATTTATTTCATAATGTGATTTACGCCCCACTTTCAATTCTTTACATCAATGAAAGGTTAGATTTTTGCAAATTTTTTGACTGAAATATTAAAAGGCAGCCATCTTTGATCATTATTTACCTGGGTGCCAGTAATTCTTACCACAACTGTATACACACACACGTATATTTTATAAACACAAACTTTTGTTAGACGCGATTAATTGCGTTTAATCGATTTGACAGCACAAAATTTTACATTATAAATCATTTGACATTTTTGTTTGTTTATTTATTTGTTGTTTTGTATGCTATAGTTAAAATACACCTTTTCATCCTTTTCACTTTTGATAAGGTCTTGCTCTTCCATAACCTGAGAGTACAGGAACAACAAACAAATGTTTGATAAAAGATAAAGATAAGATTGGTTTCTTTCTTTTTTTTGGTTTAGGTTAATGGTTACGCCCCTGTTTCTTTTTATTTTTACAGCCATCTTTGATCATATTTACATGGGTGCCAATAATTCTTACCACAACTGCACACACACACACGTATATTTTATAAACACAAACTTTTGTTAGATGCGATTAATTGCGTTTAATCGATTTGACAGCACAAAATTTTACATTATAAATCATTTTACATTTTTGTTTGTTTATTTATTTGTTGTTTTGTATAGTTAAAATACACCTTTTCATCCTTTTCACTTTTGATAAGGTCTTGCTCTTCCATAACCTGAGAGTACATGGGAACAACAAACAAATGTTTGATAAAAGATTGGTTTCTTCTCTTTTTTGGTTTAGGTTAATGGTTACGCCCCTGTTTCTTTTTATTTTTACAGCCATCTTTGATCATATTTACACGAGTGCCAATAATTCTTACCACAACTGCACACACACACACACATATATAAACACAACATTAATATGTTAGATGCAATTAATTGCGTTTAATTGATTTGACAGCACTAATTTTTTAATTATAAATCATTTTACATTTTAAATTCGTTTGTTTATTTGTTAGTTGTTTTGTATACTAGTTAAAATACACTTTTTCATCCTTTTCTCTTTGATGACCTGAGGAACAACAAACAAATGTTTCATAAAAGATAAAGAAAAGATTGGTTTCTTCTTTTTTTTCTGTTTAGGTTAATGGTTACGCCCCTGTTTCTTCCATTTTGTGTTTGGGGTCCATAAGGAAAAAAGTTGGGGGATTTTGATCATTTTCATTACATTATCCCTGTGAATCATCCCAGCGTGTTATTAATAAATGCCAGTGCCCTAACAAACGCCTCTGTTCAGCTCGGTTCAGTTAATCACTCTCTGCTCTGATCAGCTCTCGACCGAAAACTGCTGGTCAGATGCATTCAGCCCCGGAGGCCTCAATGAGGGTTAGATTCAGAGTTTAAGTCTTTCTCTCCTGGCTCCCGGTATTGTTCGAATGTAGGCAGGGCATTGTGAGCGGTGACGCCGTGGCTACTGGACGATGGAGGAGACGCAGGTGGAGGCCTGAAAGTCTCTGAACGAGAGTCGAGTTTCCCACGCTTCAGGTTTCTTAGTCAGAGCCACACAAAGAGGGGCCTGTGCAGGCGACGGGGACGCTGGAACGCCAGGTAACAGTAGCCAATTTTCCCTAGTTCTGATCCGTGATTGTGGGGTCAGTGTTTTACATGGGCAGAGATGGGGATGGAGAACCCTCTTGAAAACCCCTTTGTTTCCCTCCACAAGAAAGATGCAGTACTATAATTAAAAGTTGCAAAACAAGATTTGCGTTCGTATTCAGTCTTAACATTGGCTTTATGTTGTGTTGTTAGTCGTGTGAACAGGTTCACATGGACGCCGCATGCTTTTCAAAAAGTGTTTGCATTAAATTACAGGTTTCTTGATGCTTTCTGACCTTAAAGAGCTGCATGTAAGGCTGTATTCACACAGTGTTTTCACTAATAGGTGTGACTCTCAAATTCTCCCATTCATGGAGCAGCAGGCAGGAACAGATCCATATCCATTATGTCTACGAGCAGGTAACCAAAGTTTTTAACTTGAAAGTAAGTCCTGTAGTTCTAGATAACTATTGTAAAAATCAAGATGTTGTGCCTTTAAGGATTTAATACTTAAAATCTCCTGCTGCTTTCATCCTCTCAAAAATGCTGTGGTTCTGTTTTTGACTAATTTAGGGGTTATTTTTTTATACTCTATTGCTGCATGTGTTATTTAATGTTTACTTACTATTATATTATTTTTTTTCATATTTTGAAATGGCATTTATTTTATATTTTAATTGTAAGTAATATCTTTTGTCATTTTTTAAACTTTTATATCAGTTTATTTTTATATCAGTTTAATCATTTTAATACTTCAACTTTAACCTGTTTTATTTCAGCTAGTTGCCAAGACAACATTTTAAAAGTTTTTTAAATCATTTTTTCATTTAATATTTATATTTGACTCAATTTGAAGAATTTGTAATCATTTTTGTTTTAGATAACAATAACAACAACACTGTCTTGAACAAACAATTTCGACAACCCCACATGAGTTATTGACAGCAGAGAATAAGCATTTGTCAGAGTTTGTCAGAGTTGATTCTTTTTATAATGCACATCGTCTGAACTCGCTGGTATAAAGTCCTAAAAATTTTAGGGAGTCACTTTTGTTATAGAATCTAGTTTCATAAACGAACTAGGCCTATAGGAACAAAATGCAAGCTAAATTGCGTCAGAATGAATTATGGATTGTATCGCACCGCTTGTTTGCCGTTGGCTGTATCAAACGTGCTTTGCGTTGAGTACATGGGGATGTCTGGGTTGAAGTACATGGGAGGACTCATCTCTTCAGGTTCATTCATGAAAACTCTTCGTTTCGGACAACAGCACCAGAGCACCACCTGAGAGGAGGAACACTTTTGTCCTTTAACAGTACAGTCACTGACACAAAACTACCAGATTACCTTTACTTTTTGGACATAGTATCATGGTTTTATGCACATGTATACATGAACCATGGTATTATTTTGAGTAATTTACCAATAATACATTGCCCGACCAAAAAAAAAAGTCTCTGTTTGGATTTTGGGATGTGCTGGAGGAGACTTTATAGAGTGCTTGACTCTTGCATTGTCAATACAAGATCTTGACCCAAAATTTATGTTATGCAAATAACATCACAACATTTATTTCCATAAATTTTTGGCCAAAATCTTGTATTGCCAATGCAAGAGTCCAGCACTCTATAAAGTCTCCTCCAGCACATCCCAAAGACTTTCAATGAATTTAAGGTCTGGACTCAGAGGTGCCAATTCATGTGTGAAAATGATTCTTCATGCTCCCTCACAACCATTCTTTCACAATTTGAGCCTGATGAATCTTGACATTGTCATTCTGGAATATGGCCATGATGTGTTTTTCTACATGGTTATTTAAGAAATGAAAAGCTATGCACTCCATCAGTTAAGGTTAGAAGAACTGTTCCCAAACATATCACATGCTAAAAACATAATAATCACAGCAATAATGATCCAATTACTCTTAAGTATTTGCCTATTTAAATCCAAACAGCGACTTAATTTTTGTTCGGGCAGTGTAGATGAATATGGTAATCATTTAGTAGTATGCTATATATCAAAAGGTTAAATTGCATATGTACCGCCACTATACCGTAATTATGGATAGTAATATAGATGTTGGTCAGTTTTATTATTTATTCAGATGAATGTACAATCAATACAATTTTAATGTTCTCCTATACCATGTTCTCCTATAAAACCAAAGGTTCATACAATATTGATCCTACACCCTCGATCACTCACCAGAATGATGAGGATGATGAGGAGGAAGAGACTGACAGCCGCCAGCGCTAAGAGGGCGATGCCCCATCCCGGCACCAGAGCGGAGGCAGTGGTAGATGAGTAATTCACAGGCGTGGTGGTCTTCGAGGGCTGTGCTGTTGGAAATGGAGTGGAGCTGAATGTCGGGTTCACAACAGTGATGGAGGTAAAAGTGGACTTGAGGGCTGTAGTGGTGTTATTGGGGGCTGTAGTGGTGGTGCCATTTGGGGTTGCAGTGATGGTGGTATTTGGGACTGTAGTGATGGTTTCAGTGGTGGTGGTGCTATTAGAAGGTAAAGTGGTGGTACCAATGGGTGCTGCTGTGGTGGTCCAAATAGGGACTTTTGTGGTGGTCCCATTAGTTACTCCATTGGTGGTGCTGTTGGGTGCTGCAGAAATACTTGTATTATTCATCAGTAAGTTGGTTGTGGTGTTTGGGTGCATTGTGGTAGTGTTAAAGGGCGTGGAGTGGATGAAGTGTGTGATGTTTCCCACAACAACAGAGGTGGACATGTCGGGTGTGTGTGTGGATGGAAGGCGGCTGGTGAGGGATTCGTCTTCTGTTATGTTCTCAGGAGTGGAAATGAGAGGCGTGGTCGTAAAGGGTGTTCCTTTGTGTGTTGTCGTTGGTGGACTGATGAAGGTCTTCTCTTCTTCAAAAGGTTCTTCAGTTGATAGTTTATCTGCAGGAAGGATTGAATGTACTTTTCATTAGTTGTTGATGTATTTGTCAACACAATCTCATGGCAATTCATATCTATTTTACATTTTGGCAAATTGGTGGCTAATTTGTATGAATGTGAATAATCTCATTTGTACATTTTCATACTTTCAGCTGCTTACTCCCTAGTAATGGTTATGTTTAGGAGTTTTCACATTGCATGGAATCATACAAAATTGCCATCTTGTAAAATAGTTACATTTTCCTGTGAGATGGGGTTGTGTTTGTCTGTTTTAGATGGTCATTTCTTTAACTTTTAATCCTATAAGTATAAAGTAAAGAATCTGAAAGCAACCATTGTTGACTGTTATTTTACTTTCAATGTAGCTGAGGTCGATCTCTAGTGCCGGCGATGGAATTTGCTTGTACGCAGGCAAAAAGATGTCTCTCACAATCTCTGGATTGACTTGGGTCGGCCCAAACAACAGTCGAGAAGTGGCGATCACAGACCCATTACTGCAAGAGAAGCACTCATAAGATCAGATATTCTCTGTCGCTTGGATGTATTAGATGTAAATCTAAGATTAGTTGATCAAACCTGAAGATCATCTCTTCTGTCCCCAAATATATCAGGTGAGTGGTGTTAAATGGTGGAGCATAAACATCTTCAAACTGGAAAAAGGAAAGAACAACAGTGGAAAAAGTCAAAATTCTTCAGAGTAAAACCAATTTAGGGGCCGTTTACACGACACCGGTTTCAAAACCTCTCTCTTTTTTGCGTTTTGTCTGTTCATTTACACGATAACAGCATTTTGGGGGCCTGGAACAAAAACACGTTTGTAAAGGGGTTTCAAAGTGCAAGTTATTAAAAACAATACCATTACCTTGTCCGTGTAAAATACAAAAACACGAATTTGCGAAAATGGTGACATCATTCACATTACGTGTTCCTTTACAAAGTGACATCGCCAACTACTGGCCTGGCATTCATAATACAGAGTTTTAATAATTTTCGCAGATCCGTGTAAATGGGGGTGGTACAAAGGAACTCCCCCAGGCCCCAGCCCCTAATGGATGATTTTATCCAAAGCGACTTACATTGCATTCAAGATATACAGTACATTTAGTCAGTTCAATTTATCACATTGATAATACTGTGATATTCTATAAAGTACTTTAATTATTAGCATATCTTATTTTATTGGTACCATGGTAATAAACATGCCATGGTGGTATGTCATTGTAAATCTTGTAAATACTATGGTACATTAATCTGGTAAGTTTATAAAAAAATACTGTAACATGGCAGTACCGTGGTATGATGGTATTACCATGGTACTTTAATATAAACTGTTATTAACATGGTATTTTAAGGAAAATGGTACTTTTCTGTAAGTGTAATCATAGTATTTCCATCTGAGACCATCACTGTACACCATTCGCTTTCATATGGCATACTGTATCCATTGGATGTATGTAATATATCCCAGAATACTGTAAATACCCCATGAATGCTTTACATATACAAGCATGATTAAAAAGAGACCCTCACCAGTCGTTCCACCTCTTGCTTGAGTGTTGTATACTCTGCTGATTGCTGGTCAGCCAGTGAGTCATTATAAACACGGTTAGTGATTCTGAGATCCATGATAACTGAAGTTAAAGCATGTGGAGTCAAGGCATCTGTGTTTTCAGTTGAGGAATCCCACGCAGAGATATTGACAGACTTTACACCTGAATCAGATTTTGATATATTCATCACAAAGTTTTTTTTGTGTGACTTTATCCTTTTTGCATAATATTTAACATGTATAATTTAATTGTTATTTCACCAAAAATGAAAAAAATGTCATCAGTTATTCACCCTTGTGTCGTGAGACAAAGGACGACATTTTGTACAGTGAAAGTCAACGGTGTCAAAAACAACAAATACAATTACTTTCATTGTATGGACAAAAAAAAACGGAGACATTTTTCAAATTATCTTCTTTTGTGCTCCACAATAGAAAGATCATCATACGGGCTTGGAACAACATGAGGGTGAGTAAATAATGACTGATTTTTCATTTTTGTGAAAACTATCCCTGTTACAATGATACATAAGGTAATTGTTATATTTTGTGATTCACATTTTTAAAACAGCTACTTACCCATGAAAAGTGCAATCCAACCAACAGCCAAGGTGGTGGAGGCTCTTAGTATAATCTTCATCATCTTTGAAGACGAGTAATCCTTCAGCGTGTGATCTGTGCCAGCGGGTTGAGTCAACATCAACTAATGTTCTGGACTCTGGAGAAAGTGCCTCTTTATCAGAGTGAACAGTCCTTTTATTGTTTGAGCACCTGAGCAGGTACCACACACAGGTGGGTGGAGCTCCTGCACTGCATTTTCTCTGAAGCATTTTATAAAACCTCACAAATGATATCTCAATCATTTCTCCTTGACCGCAATTAGATTAAATGTCGACTTTTTCTCATATCTCATGCTTTTCAGATGGTTGTCCTAAAAAAAACATGTGATCCCACATGACTCCAGTAGAGTTTCAGAAGAGGTCTCATTTATTGTTTATAAATGTTCTCTGAATGTAGATATGCACAAGTGGCTGTGGAATATAAATCTGATTTACTTTGAATAGAGATATGAAATTGTGAGAGAATAAGAATAGCATTAACAGAATGGACATAATATTCACATGAGATTTGGTCTAAATGCATTTCAATATATCTCTCCAGAAGACATTTGACATTCAGCTTTATGGTCATAGCTTCTCACCATAAATAGCATATCTCACCTTTGCTGAATTGTATGTGATGACGTCACCCGTGACATCAGCAGTGGCATTATCCGTGTGTGTGTGTGTGTGTGTTTCCTCTGGCTTTAGCAGGAGACATCTCTCCTTCTGACCATTTCAACAGCTGTAAACCACATCTGTCTGCCTTTTTTTTAAGTATCCACTCAGATAAATAAGATAATAACAGGGTCACTGTGTTCCCCGTTAACAGAAATGTGTTCTAAGAATGTTTTGCTAATGTTCCCGTTAAGTTATGAAAATGTAATTTCTGAATGTTCTCTGAACATTCACAACGTCCAGTTTTTTAAATTTTTAAAATCCTTTTTTTTCTTGGTTATGCGATCATTAAGGAAACTATTCTTATCATCCTTTAAACATTATGAGATTGTTACATTTGAATGTTATCCAAACATTCTGAAACCAAACTTTAGACAAACATCCAACTGAAACATTTCAGAAAATAAAATATGCATAAATAATGTTTTTGTGCTAATATTTTGAGAACGTTACTAAAGACCAGATAACAAACGTTCTATTAACGTTACAGGAAGAACGTTTATTCATAACTTTGAGAGAACCTTGCCAGAACGTTAGCTAAAGTTCTTTGAACGTTTCCTGTTAGATGGGTTGCCAGATTGCATTAGTTCAATCATTGTGGCATGTTTGTATCAGATGGTTGAACAAAATCATCTGCATTCACATAAATATTTTAAACCCCTTGATGTTTTTTTTCTCCAGGTCAGAGAAAATACCACACTGTGGTAAGAACTCTTCCCCTTGGGTCAGGGATGTTTTATTCACTTGAGGTTTGAGTGTTTGTCTGTGTCTGAAATTTGAGTTGTTAAACGGGTCATTTGGTTTTTCCACAGGGCTTCAGTGAAGTGCTTTATGCCACCCTGATGTTTGCTCATGGGAGGAAGGACGTCATCTTACCACACACAGTCTAAAATGTTTAGGGACACTCAGTTTAGTGACTGAATTTACACTCCTCAGTGTCTTATTTGCTATTTTAGTTTATTTTCCAGTCTTGTGTTTTTGAATATTTAAAAATCCACACAATGTGGTCTGTAAAATCTGGAGAACATTATCCATCAACATTTCCATTCATGGCAGTTGCCTGGCTGGTGCAGGTGTGCATCATTTTTTTAAGTGCTATTAAAAGTAAAAACATTTTTAAACTTATTTTATTGTCGGAAAAATGATTGCATGTATTTAAAAAATAAGTAATACACAGTGAAAATGTGCAAGGTTCCTTTTGTCCTTTAGTTGTTCTTGGAACAATTTCAAAGAATTCCAGAATGTCCCAATGATGCCCAAAGCCCTTTTCCAGAGATTTTCACAATATGTTGAACTTTTCTTGTCTTTACTCTTGATGAAACTTAATTATCTAAATGGGAACACACAGTTACATTAAGTGGTTACATATGTGATTTTTTTTTCAGGCCATAGTCTACATTAAGTAAATGTGGTCTAAAGAAAGAGAAGAGGATTACTGAAACTAACTCATAGTTCACACAAACGGACGGGATGGGTGCTCATGGCTGGAACAGGAATGTACTGGACTCTATCAGTCCCTTGGGACTCTGATGTCTTCATGTGTGCATGTGGTTTTTGCTCATGAATTCTTGGCAGATTCCTGGGATGGAGAGTTGCAACACAAGCGGCTGATTGTCCATTTGGCCAAGTCTCTGCTGTTCCTACAGGCCCACTGCAAGCAATGATAAAACACAATTACCTCACAGACCATGGTAACCAAATTACCTCTTGTATTGTGTCTAAGTTTCGGCCAAGATATGATACGTGCTACTACAAAAGTAAACAAAATTACTAAATTTATATTTATACACACTAGCTAATGTTTTTGAAAAAAAGTCTCTTATGCTCACCAAGGCTACATTTATTTGATAAAAATACCTTAACAGTAATGTTCTTAAATATTATTACTATAAATTAACTGTTTTCTATTTATAACATGCAATTTATTCCTGTGATGTAAAATCTGTATTTTCAGCATCATTACTCAGTCTTTCACATGATCCTTCAGAAATCATGCTGAAGAAAAAGATCAACAGTTGTGCTGTTTTTTCCACCCTATTTTTTAATATATAAAATCTTACTCGTCACAAACGTTTGAACTGAACATGTTCAATCAGCGTTTGTTGGGACAGTGTGAACACGACCGTTATTTTGCATAACATTTCAAATCCAACGGCCAACTTGTTTGTTAGTGTTTGTCTGTGCGGTGTGAATTGGCCATCCAAGGCTCTCACTGTGGACGGAGAAGCCTTCAGAAAGAATAAGGGCATTGGCATGATCAGTGATCACCTGTGACTGGAAGGAAGTTGAACACATCCGCAAAGTTATTGGGACTTTTATTTGTCAAAGCAGCAGCTCCGGGTCATAGGTGTTTGGTCTGTGAAGATGGCGGCTCCCTGTGAGCTGTTTTGCTGGAAGGCTGGTTTGGGTTTACCGTCAGTAAATACGGACTGTCTGATCGTGCTGGTGAGTTTTCATCACAGGCTCATGTAGACTGGATATGTATATGGGTTGGTTCTGGTCACGTGCCTATATTTGTAGTACAGCGATTCGGCTCGGTACTGCACTAACGTTACAGTGTAGATGGAAACGTTACAGTGATGCTACATAGTCATGCCTTTGGCTTTGCACCTAACGTGTGTATATACTGTATATATGCTTGTTATTTAAACACAAGGGACTTAAAATATAGTTTTATATGAGTAGTGGTCGCAGGTGTTGTTATATGTGTGTAACGTTGTATATTATTACGTAAAATAATTAATAATAATAATGCATGCATCCATCCATTCTTCAAACTGCTTATCCTATGTCCTGTGCAGGGTACTAGAAAATAATGTTTTTTTAATATAATATATTTAATATTGATATTCGTGTTTAAATAATAATAATAATTGTTATTATTATTATTAATAAAATTGTTTAATTTCTCTCTTCTGTGAAACATAGCTACCATTTTCCAGAATGAAAGTGTGGATATTATCAAGATGAGCACTAGGGCCCCAGCTAACTTACTATTTTTATCCATTTTATTTAAAGCATACCAAATTATTTTATTATTATACTACTAAAATAAAAAAAGAGTAATGGTTGCCCAGGGCCTCACATGACCACGGTCTGACCCTGTCTAAATGCCAGTCTACCATTTGAGACTGCAAATCTCCAATGTTTACTCTTCATGATTTAAGCTCAAATTCCTATCTCAGTTTTATTCCAAAGCCAAGGTGGTTATCAGCATTTTTTTTTTTTTGCATGAATCATCATGTGAGACATTTGCTCCACTTTTCTTATTTTTCCACTTCAGTTTGGTCACACCAGGGCGCCACCTGTCTGTGCTACTGTAAACCACAAACCCACCACTGTCATCTGGAGTTAGCATCAATCTCATCTCCTATCGGCAGCTTTGGAGACTGAATTCAGATCCATTTTATTCCTAATCAACAAAGGTTGTATGTGGGTAAAGAACCAGGTTACTATTGCTGAAATCGCATGTTAAAGTGGTTAGGTTACATCAGTGCTGTGTGTTTTGGACTCTCTGAGTGTTGTGGGATTTTTCCAGCTCGCCAGCGGTCGGGTTGATGTCTGTGCATTACAGTCTGTCTGCACCTACCGAGGGCGCTTTAAAAACCGCAGGCATGTTTTGCTCCCTCTGTCTGATGGTTTGGTAATGTGAAGTTCATTCAGAATTTTCCAGATTATCTCACTGCACCAGAAAGGATATAGTTGCATTAAATTGTGACTGCATGTGAAGCTCTGTGGATGTTTGGAGATTTGCCTGTCTGCTGCCAACATGAAGTTAGGCCTGTCATAACAAAAATGTATTACGTTTATAATACTTTTTAGTGCTCCCATATCTTTTTACGGCACCTGGAAGGGAGAAATAAAATTAAATAAAAACATAATTTAATTATTCAGTTCAGTATTTGTTTAAAAAGATTTTTTTTTTGTGCAACATATGAATGGAATTTAACATCATTTGATCAAATAATATAATATAATATTAAAAACAATCTAAGAAATTCATCAAATAATGACCAGGCAATTGTGTAATAATTATGACAGGCCTACTTTTAGTTAAAGGTGCTGTATGTAATTTTTTGACAGTGCTAATGCATAATAAAACCATAATATGTTTGCAGATATTTAGGAAACATGCTAAGTTCACAAACTTGTTTCTCTGAAGAAGAAAAAAAATGCTACAGCCAGTTATTCTACTTGGAAATGTGCGTTCCTTGTTGGAATGTCTGTTTTTGTTTTGGTTTGTGTGATCCCACCCACTGCCAATTTACCCAATAGTATTTCCGGAAAACGCTGCGTATTGCAGCCATGGAAGCCAGCAAACGACCTGGGTCCAATATCGCAGATTCTACCTCGCCTAAAAAGTCTCAGCATCAATCTAAAAAGCTCTAGGACCAGAGTCATTTTAAAATGCAGATATGTTAGATGATCAACTTAGTGTGAAGCTTGTCGCTTTTCATTGTCAATTGTGCTCGTTCTTGTTGCGTTCTCAAACTGGCAACCTGTGTGATAGAGATGCGCGGATGGGCTATTATTTCATCCGCAACCGCATCACAAAACTCATCATCCATCCGCCATCCATCATCACTAGCGTTTTTGACCAATTTTCAAAACCGCACCCGCCCGCCATCCGCTGATTGGGCGATACAAGGCGCTGCTGATGACAGCCGCGAGACTAGCAAGCTCTCAGAATATCAGCAGTGAACTTCGTCTCCGATCGGCGCGCAGGGACAAAAATAAATAAATAGCCTAAATTAAACGCACTTCGGCAAACCTGACCTTATCTGATAGGCTACTGTACAATATTTTCAGTGTAGCCTAATAGAAAACGCATTTTGGCACATAATTTCAACATGCTGCTATTGTATGGGGCGCCGTTTGTAAAGCGGCTCACGCTGAAAATAACAGCAACATTTTGTCACATTTAGCTCCAAACAATGTTTAAAAAACTGGTATGACATCATCACACACTTGTGATGCACCATATTAGACGTACCCGTCTTGTGGCTGTCATGAACATAATCTGCTTTGCAGGTTTTGCAAATTACATAGCCTGCAGCACTGGTGTCATCCTGATTTACCACTTTGTAAAACTTATTCCAGGCAACACTTTTCTGACCTTCTATTTTCTTTGTTTTTAATTCTCCTTTTTTGAGTTTGTCATGTACCTCCTTCGCCGGCGTTGCCATCTCTGATAATAACAAGCAGTCTCTGCATAGACTCGACTAGCTGCCTGATGAAAATTTGACTATTTCAAAGTGTGCTTGATTTTTTTTTTTTTGGATGTAGGTATAGTCAGATAACAATATTTAACAATGTATACATATATTTTTCATTGGATTGGTTCAACCGCCCGCCACCCGCCCGAATTTAATAAAAAAAAGAAATTCCGTTACGTCATCCGCCCGATCCGCGGTTTATCCGCGGAGTCCGCGGCTGTAACCGCCAACCGCGCATCTCTACCGTGTGAGCGTGGAGTCTGAGGAGGAGGAGGTGGGGAAACAACTCTCTCCAATATTTAGAATTTGGACTGCAATACCAATGTCAACCACTAGCTGTCAATATTACATACTTCACCTTTAAGAGATTTCTTGTGATGGTATGTGCTTGTTTTATTCTACACGTTTCAGCCTTGATCTTAAACTATAGTATGCTTATTTGACATTTAGGAAGTAATTTTTTTCATTATGTTATGCTTGATGTTTTGCAGTGGTCTATTAATTTATACTAGCACCTAATGTGGATCCAGTGTAATACTACTAGTGTGTACTATGCTTTTCTTTTCGTGGTAAACTTACAACTTAGTTACTTGGAATTGGAATAATTGAATTGAATGCTCCCGATCTGAATTCTGACTTATGATGCAGCCTAAATCATAATCGCACCGTGTTTGTTTATTGGCCAGAGGAGAATTTGCCCCCCGACTGCTGGTTTCTTCCAAGGTTTTCTTTTTCTCCATTCTGTCACCTGATGGAGTTTGGGTTCCTTGCCACTGTCGCCTCAGGCTTGCTTAGTTGGAGACACTTACAATATTATTGATCTGACTACTGACGCTCTTGTATGAGAACTGAACTGAGCTGGACGATGACATTAGTTAATTTCATCTTTCAGCAGTTCTGCAAAAAAAAAATTAATAATTGAGGATCTTTACAACAGAACTGAATTGACACTGAAGTGACTTCAGCTGAAAAACAGCCAAAATGCATAATTTCCCTGTTATCACTGTAAAACTGCTTTGAAACTATCCGTTTTGTATAAAGAGCTATATAAATAAAGGTGACCTTTTAGATGTTAAAATGAATGAAAAAGTGATCTAATGTGGAAAAAACAACGAAATGTTACTGTTCAGCAAATACATGTTTTTTTCATTGATAAATTAACCCATGTTGTGGCTGCTTGTGTGATGGTGTATTAGAACACTCCCTTAACGACACAGCAGTGATTGGATACACAGCAAGACATGGGCGGGGCTTAAAATCAAGACAGCCATAATCTGTGCCACTCTATTAAGGATCTTATGAAAGGTTCAAACTAATTATTACCATCTGCACTTTCAAGAGAAGCTGTTCTGTCATCTGTGGCCTAATTTCAGTGTGTTTATGTGTACAGCAGGAGTCTGATGAACTGCTTTTACTGTGGGCAAAGTGGACTTCAGCCAGCTGTAGTTTTCCTCCTCATGTTTGTTTTGGACTCTACCAGTTGTTCTCGTAGGAATGATTTATATTCAAACCTGATCCTCTCCACTTTACGAGCCACAATTTAGGATTCTTTAGGAATCAATCTAGTAATAAATCTGAGGTTATGATGTCAGCCTTTGATGGAGATAACTGCACTTTTTCAGCTCACCGCACGACTGCAACTGGGAAAAGGAGAACTCAATACTCAGCTCTTTCCACAAATCTGGTTTCCTCTCCCTCTTTTACAGTCACAGTTAGAGTCCTGTAAGTGCTGGAAGCCTAATGTTAAAGTAATCACCCCGAAATGAAAATCCTGTGGCTGTTTCTCACTGAAACACAGGAGAAGATTTGAAGCATCTTTATGCAGTTCTTTTCCATTAAAGGACAGTTCATTGTGACTAAACCTCATAAATAAAATACATATTTCCCATATTCCCATATTTACAACATAAAATCCCATATTCATGTTTTATATTCCATGTCTCTTACATCATAAAATATATTTGAGGGACAGACTGGCATAATTTAATGACATTTATGCGTCCATCCATTTTCTTCTATACCCACTAAGGAGAGTGCTAGAATGAAATGTAAATTATTTACTCGAGTTATCCACCGTATCATTTTCTGTTTATTTTATTTGTAATGACTACATAATTTAGGGTATTTTATGACTTTTGGACACACATGGTCAGTTGTTCAAGAGCTCCATGAAAATCACACGAGGACGAGTAAAAAAATGTCAGAATTTTCCTTTAGAAATCGAGGCCGATAATTCTTGAGTCATTCTTGGCTTCAGCCTGATGTGTAAAGGAATCACTCCAGGGCATTTAACCCCAGTGATCATTAGTATACAATGCTTTCATTGAAAGAATCTGCTAAACGACGTGCTGACGTTCTGAGCCAGATGTGAAGCGCTGGATCTGTCAGCTCTCAGCTGCATGTGCTGGAATGTGAAATTACGTCGTCCTTTATCGGATGTCGTCGTAAAACGAGGCATCCCATCCAAGAGCTAACCCTGTCCAAAAGCTAAAGCTGTTTTGTGTCAATGCCTTTGGTGTAGCTAACTAGCTCTTGTTTCAGGTTGTGTTCTTGCTTATGTTGCTGTTCGAGTTTGTTGCGACTTGATATTATGTTGTCGTCATCCATATTTTGTGAGGTTGCGTAGTACTCTTGGTTTGTGCTAGAACATAAATGATACTCAAATTGCTTCTAGCACATAAGATTTATAATTCTAGCCTGGCAATAATAATTATGTCTTTTATATAATTTTCCAGGCATATGCTCGCTTCTCTGGAGCTCCGCTCAAAATTCACAAGATTTCTAACCCCTGGAGAAGCCCCACAGGTAAGCAGGCCCAGTTTTAACAATCTGTTTCTTGGCAGACACTTTACATTCATTAAAGAGGATCATTTAGCATGTTTTAACTGAAGCACACAGGCCTCTTCCTCTTTCCTGCCGAGCTGCTGATAACTTGCATCTGTATGTTTCTCTTTCACATTTTTGTCTATCTCCAATGGTTTTTTTCCTTGGCTCCTGAATTCTTCCGAAGTTCCATATTATTACATTTCGAATACATAAATAAAAATGAAAGACCTATCAAAAGTATAACAGTTAATTAGCCTGTTTTTCGCATTTTTGTGGATCCCCTCTTTGAGTGCGTGATAATTTAATTTTATAAAATGTACTATAAAATTACTTGATCATTCATTTATTTATTTATAATATTTCTTTGGACAGAAATTATTACTTTTATTCAGCAAGTATGCATAAAATGTATCAAAAGTGACAGTAAATGCATTTGTAATGTTACAGAAGATCTCCATTTCAAATACATGCTGTTCTTTTAAACTATTTCTTTTAAACTGTTTTCCACTTTGATAAGAATAAATGTTTCTTGAGCAACAAATTAGAATATTAGAATAATTTCTGAAGGACCATGTGATATTTTTAAGACGTTATCTAGAGGTCATGCATTTCCATTATTGATATCCAGAGTGATAGCTAGCTTAAATGGATTGTGTTGTTGGTCATCTTTAGACATTTAGAAAAATCACAAAACTTTGGCAGTAAACTCATCCAGGCAAAAAAAAAAAAAGTGCTTTACTGACGCTAATGTATTCACTGAAGGTTCACTACCTGCTCTCAGGACCAAAGAGGAAGGCAGCTGCTCTCAACCCAGTCAGATCATCATTCAATTGAGGAAACAGGTGATTATCTCTCGCCCACAAAAACCTCTATGATCACATTTTGGTCTATACCGTGTCCCTCTATATTTCACTCTTCATGGGTGCCTTTTGTTCCGAACAAAGCTAAGTTTAGTAGTTTCGGGTTCATTCATTTGAGGACTGCAGAGTTTCCAGTGATGCAAGTTGCCATCATAAAGGCCATAATTTTCTCATTAATCATGTTTGATTGCACAATGAAGGTATCCATTAAATTTGTTTTGAATGAGACACAATAATTATGTGTTTTCAGGAAAGGTTTTAATTATGTGCATAATTAAAACCCTTTCTAGAAATATGTTTCTTGTCTCTCATTCTACCAGGTAGTAGTGCTGTTCAGAGTCAAAAACATACACAGATCAAGTCAATGTTTGCAGCTTCATTCACAAAACTACACAACTTTTTTGATGCTAAAATACCTTCTCCTTTTCTTCTCCATTTGGTTAAGTGCCTGAAATATGAATTTAGAAAAGGTATTTTCATGTTTTATTCTACGACACAAAATACATCAGTACTTACTTTTTTAAGCTTTTATTTGTCTTAAATTTGGTTGCTAACAAGTGGCTAAATGGGATTACAGATGGTATGTTAAAGGTTATCACACCAAATAGGAACACATCTCAAAGAATCTACTTACTAGTCTGCTTTCACAGCCCCGTTGTGTTTATACTTGCACTCTTGCAAACTATTATAACTCAAACTTTCAAACTTATAGAATTTAAATTAAGATTTAAATCCAACAGCAATGGTGCGACCATGGTGTAGTTCGTTTATAGCCTAACTTTTGCTTGTTACTTCTGCCGCTTGTATTTAGGCCTCAGTTCATAAGTTGTGTTCATTTGTGAAGAATATCTTGATGGAAAAAAAATTGTGAGAATCATTAACTTTATTTATTATAACTTTATTAAGCTTATTTTCTGCTATAATTCAAAAGTCAATGGAAAAATCTGGCTTTTTGTCAAGGGAACCAGGTGATGCTTACTTCTGGGATGGCCTACAAAAATACAGGGGTTGAACAATGAAACTTTAGGTTTCACACCTATATATGCGCAGCCTTGTGGCCAGTCCTCACTGATTTTACATTTCATCAGTAAGAGCAGAGTGTGAAGGTTGAATTAGCAGAGCAATAGCACAGCTGTACATTAAATATCCACACAGCATAATGGGAGACATATCAGTTCAAAAGAAGACAAATTGTTGGTGCATGTCTCGCTGGCTCATCTATTGTCGACGCAAGAGGAAGCTGTCTGAAAGGGATGTCCAGGTACTAACTCGGATTGTATCCAAAAAAACATAAAACCACAGCTGCCCAGCTCACTGCAGAATTAAATTCTGTCCTTGACTCCTCTGTTTCCACCAAAACTGTTCGTCAGGAGCTCCACAGGGTCAATATGCATGGTCGGGCTGCTATAACCAAACCTTTGATCACTCGTGCTAATGCCAGTAGTTGGTTTCCTTGATGCCAACAGTGCAAATCTTGGGCTATGGACAATGTGAAACATGTATTGTTCTATGATGAGTCCACCTTCACTGTCTTTCCCACATCCGTGGGAGTTACGGTGTGGACACGCTTAACACACACAGACTGTTGCTGCCCAGATTGAAGCACAGCGGTGGATCAGTGTGTGATGCTTTGGGCTGCAATATCATGGCATTCTCTACTGAGATTGATGGGCACGTCACTGCCAAGGACTACTGAACCATTCTAGATGAGGCACCAATACACACACCAAGACTTGTGAAAGAATGGTTTGATGAACATGAAAGTGAAGTTGAACATCTCCCATGGCCTGCACAGTCACCAGATCTAAATATTTTTAAGCCACTTTGGGATATTTTGGAGGAGCCAGTCAGAAAACGCTTTCCTTCAACAGCATCACAGTGGCCTGGCCGCTGTTCTGGAAGAGGAATGGCTCAAAATCCCTCTGGCAACTGCGCAGGACTTGCAGTATCTGTCATTTCCAAGACGACTTCATGCTGTATTTGCAAAATGAGGCTCTACACTATACTAATAAATTATTGTGGTCTAAAACCAGGTGTTTCAGTTTCATTGTCCAACCCCTGCACATCATCACTTCAGTGCTCAATAAATAAGCCATTCTTTGGTTGTAATCACCGGCCCTGCTTGAACGGTCAAATGCATGATTTGGAAAGGGACTACCTGTTTGTCTGAACAATAGCAGATGTAGTAGTAATGCTGTAACTTTGTCTTTCAGAAATACAATGCAGACTATGATCTCTCGGCCAAAGAGGGTGCGGACACGCTGGCCTTCACCTCGCTGCTGGAGGAGCGACTGTTGCCTGCGCTTGTGAGATTCGAATCCTGAAACTTGAAGATGATAGCTTTGGTGGGTACGTGCTCAAACACTCTCCTCATTTCCCACCAGATCTACGCTTTATGGCTCGATCCTAAGAACTATGCAGAGGTGACGCGCCGCTGGTACGGAGAGAATATGTGCTTCCCGCTCAATTTCTTCCTGCCGGGCCGCATGCAGAACAGACAGCTGGAGCGACTCCGTCTGATCCGAGGAAACAGCGCGCTGGAGGCGGGAGAAGAGGCAGAGAAGGAGGTGAGATAAGAGGAGTTGGCTACATGTTCTCCGGGTGGGATTCTGGATATTGTGCTTTATAGTATTTGTTTTTATGTGCTGTGAAATGGTCATCAGATGGTGTTTGGGCTATTGTGACACTAACAACCCTCCTTCATAGAACAGGGCGGCTGTTAGACTCAATGTTCCAGAGGCAATGATGTTCTGGTCCCTGAAGAGGACACTGATAAATCAGCAGATGTGAGGAATCTGGGCTCAGATAGAGCAGAAGTTCCGTTCTGGCAGAAAACTAGTTGCTAGTGTTAGGAAACAACTCTTTGAGTCACAATGTGCATGCTTGTGATCTGCTCACTACGACTAAGCAAAATGTTATATTTTGCAATGTTTAGGCCCAGTCACACCTATAACTATATTAGGATCCACACCAATGCACAAAAATCGTTCTGTTTATAATAAGCACACCCTTCAGTTATGTCGTCTGCCGCTTTAAATGCTCAAGCTCTTTAAAATCGTGTTGATTCTGATTGGCCGTCAATGTTTGTATTGTTCATCAGGTGGAAAAAATAGTTCTACAAGTGATTCCTTTGTGTCGTTATCATTATAGACTGCCCTATTCTCATAGAATGATTATTAAAACTTAAATGTATAAAAAATGTGTTTCTTCTATATCCTCTCTGTCTCTATTGTCTATGACTCTCCAGCTTTACCATGATGCTCTGGAGTGCCTGAATCTTCTCTCTCAGCGCCTGGGATCAAACAAATTCTTCTTTGGAGATTCGTAAGTCCTATAGTTAGAAAACTGCTATGTGTTTTACGCTTCAAGGTTGATATTTGAGCTTCACTTTGAGACTCTTGGTTGATTTATTGGTTTGGTGTAATACACATTTTGATATACATTTGATGTATTTGTGTGTTAAAGGCCCTCTTCTCTGGATGCGTATGTGTTTGGTCATCTTGCGCCACTTATTAAGATTCAACTGCCTAACTGCCGACTGCAGCAGAACTTGAAGAATCTGGACAACTTGAACACATATTGCTCTAACATCCTGAGCCTGTACTTCCCCAATGAGAGTAAAGGTGGGCAACTAACAACTACGATAAAGTGTTTGCAAAGAACAAAATGTGCAGCATGTTGTACTTCTGTCTGTAGAATAAGAGAAGATTTTTCTTCATGTGGTTGCGTGTCTGTTCTGTGTGCAGAGGGCGTCAGTCGTCCGGTGTCCAGCACACAGCAGGGGGGCGACTTTGACAACGAGCCATACAAGAGACGCAAGCAGCTGCTGTCAGTGCTGGTTGCTGTGGCAGCGATGTTGAGCTACGCTCTCCTCACCGGCATAGTAGCTATTGAGCATATGCAGGAGGAGGAGCATGTAGGCCCCGCCTCACTCAGGGGCCCCTCCCATGAGGATGAAGAGGAGGAGTGAATGAGAATGAATGAAAGTAGGGCTTTCTGTTAGTTGCACTGGGATGGTCACTTTACATGGTGGAGAAACATACAAGAAACCATATATTGTTAGGGATTTATGTATTATTTATTCCTTGACTTGAGCTTTAATTGCATAAGCTTTCATTTTCTATTTTTGTTAAATAATTTTGTTTTTCCATAGATATGCATTGTTGCTTTAATCTCTTAACTTGGTATGTTCACGTGTTTTTTTGTTCCAAAAATAAAAAGCATAACTATTCATAGCTACTAATATTAAGCTAAGTTCAGGTAAGAGAGCACTTCAAACTTGTCACCAACTAAGGGATTCCCTTAACATTTATTGTGTGACTGTGGACCAAACCAGAGCGTTTTAAACCCTTTCATAGCTTTATGACAATGGCAATTAGATTTTCACATCTCGTATGTGCTATTGCCTTGTTTGAAGCTCAGTGTTTTTCTTGTTTTAATGCACATTTTATTTGCTAACTGCTTAAATCATTCTTTCCGCTCTGCTGTCAGTGCTTGTCATACTTCAGACAGATTAATGCTCATGTTAATGTGATGGATCCTATTGATGGAAATAGAAAATGACCAATATTTAATCTAAACATTTATTCTCCTCCATGTTGTTCCAACTCTGTTTCTTCCGTGAAACACTAAAGGATTTTGCCAGAATGTCAATGATGCTGATTTCCACATAGAGAAAGTGGCTGTTTGTTGTTGTTTTTTTACTGCCAAGCTCCAAAACAACATAGTAACGCTAACGCATTCGAGTAGTCCAAACAACTTGTGCGGTATTTTCAAAGTATTCTGCAGCCATACGATAGTTTATGTGAGAAACTGTCCCTAATTTATATCATTATTTGCTAAAAAATATTCCTCTTCTATCTTATTTGCTTTAAATCAAATAATCAGTGCATATGCATATTCAAATTTGGTGCGGCATGCTTGGTCACTTGGACCAATGGCATTCGGCATCACTAATTTTGTGTATTGCACATTTGAATTTTGCCAGAATGATCCAAAATAGCATTACAAATTGAATAAAAAAACTGTGACTCAAACATGATTCAAAATATGTTCTTTTGTAAAAAAAATCATACAGGTTTACAACACAAGTAATGTGACAATTTTAATTTTGGGCACAAAAACTTTTTTTAAACATGATATATTCAAGGATAGAGAGAGAAACTGTGGCTTATGTTAAACCGCAAAACTGGCTAAGATGTTTCAGTTCCTGTAACTTTCCATGAGGTTTTCTGTAAGGTAGTTAAACTACATGCGAGTGAATTTTTCTCTCTAGTTAAACTGTTTGAAATAGAAACAATGCATTTTTGAAGGCTGCTGATTCTTGCAAGGTATGAAGTCATTTTTCCTCTTAACATCTTTGTTTTGCACCTTTGAAACCAGTTCACCTTTTACACTGATGTGTTGATTTGTTCAAAATCATTATTAGACAAGGCATCTGTCGCATGGGATTCTACAGAAATGTAAAGGAAATCTGAACAGCCAGTTTATCTCTTTTCACTAGGTGTTATGTGCTGTAATAATATTGCTTATGGATTTCTATTTTCATAATTTGAGGGGCAAATAAACAGTCCTGAGTAATCCTTATTCTGCATGGGGTTTCTTTATTTTCTGCAGATGCAATGCTGCATTGACACTGAGGGGGTTGCTCCTACAAAAATCCGATTTTATCTGTTGCATTGTTGTAACAGGAGGTCCCTGAGGACTGTGTGTGTGAAGTGGAGGTTGTAAGAGAGAAAGATATTCTCTTCAAGCTACAATTTACCTGCCGGCAGTGTTTCCGATCATCAGAGTCGGCTGAGCGAGGGCTCTGTGAATTTGTGCCCTGGGGAGACACAGCTGTGTGTTACAGCACCAGACTGGAATCTCTCTCTGGCTCCTGTTCATTCCTGGGTTGTTTCCTTGTATTTGTGTGTGGAAACATAGTGAACCCCCTCCCCACCACTAGATCCAGAGCAATCAGGAGCCCCCCCGAAGCCGCACGACAGCGTTTAATGACCTCAACAAAAATCATCTGGGAAAGAATTTCTGTTTGAAAAGGAAAAATGCATTTGGATTGTGCTGATTTTCCACACAGGGATTGAGATGGGGAAGCGATGGGTGGGGTTATGCTCTGAAACTATGTGTCATGGACCAAACTGGTTCTGGTTTTGTTCAGGGTGTAAAAGTTAGATTCATGACTCCATTGTGAAAATTTTACTCAACTCATATTTTCCTTTCTGGGAAGAGGGCTGTTTAACAAGTCCCCTCATTTAAAGCACTTTCGGATGGTGCATAGTACAAAAAGCTGAACAATTTTTTCTGCTTGCAGGGTCCAGTAAAGCTCAAGTATGACAGAACTGTTCCCCTGACACCTGCTGTTAAAAGCTGTTTCTAAGGAAACTCCGAGGTAATGAAAAATAAACATCACCCCAGGACAGACTGTCGAGACTGAACAGTCCTCATACTGCTCTACTTTAAAATGTCAACAGCGTTTGCTTTCTTTATGACAATAAATTTTGTTTGCTTGCAGATTGGTGCAAAATCAAAAGCTGACACTGGAATTATGAGTTTGAGCAAGAATAGATGGCCAAAGCCAGTGTTTGCATTTGTTCTTGCCATTTAAAATAATTTAGTTTACCCCAAAATGAAAATGTTGCTCAAGTTATTCCAAACCTGTATGAATTTTTTTCTTCTTCTGCTGAACACAAAAAAAGATCTTTTGAAGAATGTCAGTAACCAGAATGTTGACGGCACCCATTGACATCCATAGTTTTTTTTTCCTACTATGGAAGTCAATGGTTTCCGTCATCTGTCTGAGATTACCAACATTCTTCAAAATATCTTCTTTTGTGTTTAGCAGAAGAAAGAAATTCATACAGGGTTGGAACAACATGAGGATGAGTAAATGACAACATTTTCATTTTTGGGAGAACTATCCCTTTAAGGGAAAGCTTTTGTGGGTTTTTTTTTTGCCCAAATGTCTTTAAAAAGAAAAAATAATAATTTAAAAATGTGGCTGTAGGGTCTTGACAAGTACATCAACACGTTTTCAGTTACCATAAAAGTCTACCTGAGTGACCACACATATCTTGACGCTAAAAAGGGGCTAGCAAACAAAAGTAACGCACAACTTTTTAACGGTTTTCCTCTTTTCCAGAATCAACCACACGTCCATGGCAGTTCCGCAGCGTGAAAACAGCTTTAAAGCAGTTAAAAATCGTTAAAGTTTCAAAAAGCTGTCTCGAGACTTCTACGGTCCTCTATTTATGAACGCTGAACGCAACCTGTGTGAACAACTAGTTACCCCTGAGTATACGCGTGCAATCAATGCGTGTGTGTGTGTTTTACAGAGGAATAATGTATTGTATGTTGATGAAGAGGGCGGATTCAGTTCTCATTTAGATCAGCTCATTCTCTGTCTGAACGCAACTCACACACTCTCACACACTCTCTCAATCTCTCTCTCTCAACCCGCACAGCGCAGGTTTGTTCCCGTGGAAATATTTCGTGTTTCAATGCATCGTTGACGGATCTGTTTCTGATATTCCCTGGCCCTGCATCACTTTTTTGCGTTTATTATTTTGTAAACATGACATTTTGGGTCAGTCTCTTCGTGTTGATGTTCGTCCGGTACGCAGAGAGCGCACAGAAACAAGACGTGCCGGGTAATTATTCTGACTTTTTTTTTTCACTTAATCAGTTATAGACTAGTAACGTCTCTCATGTAGTTAGTTACCAGTTAATGTTTTGTCTTTCTTTTATATGCATATGTTTCTTTTAAAGTCATTAATCCGTAAAAAGTTAAACGTACATGGTCCAGTTAAAAGAACTGTGAAAAAGAGAGAGAACTCTGATAGAAAAAGAGTCACTGAGGAGATTTTGAGGAGACGGAGTGCAATTTCTCTCAGAAAATATGGTAGATAATTCATCATTTACTCACTCCCATGTTCTGCCAAACCTGCATGACTTACTTTCCTCTGTCGAGCACAAAAGAAAAAAATCTATGATAATAGGCCATACAATGTCAATGTATAAGGAATAGGAGCACAAGCTTTCAAAAATGGCGCAAAAGCATTGTAAAAATGATGATGCACATGACTCGGTCATATGGGATTCGATTCAAAACTTGTTTTAGAGTCAGATTTTCTTTCGATTATTCAGTTGACCCATTTCACAAACCCATTCTGAATGATTCATTCACAAATAGGTCTGCTCAGTTCTCGAGGTCAACTCGCTGACTTTTGACCCTTGACCTTTATTTAACCAGCCAAATAACTTAAGAACAATTACGACGAAAGATTGGGAGGTGGTAAATGGGAACAATTAAGACTAATTACATCAGATGGTAAATAGAAATAATTATATAGGCTATAATGCGTTATATTAATTATATATAATTTAATATTTCTTTTTAGCCTACTTGAATTTATTTACATATGTGACCTTGAAGGAACCCAAAAGTAATCAGATTACATTACTTTCATATTGTGGTGCTTGGATTACATCACTGAATACTTTTTTATGAAGTAATTTGTTCAAATGAAAAGCTTGTGAAGATAAAATAATGGAAATTTAAATGCGATTAAAAAAAATGAAATATAGTGTAGCTTATGAATCATATGCTTTTATTGCTTTTTATTAAATTGTTCTTTTTTGTTGTTATTAGAGTTATTTGTCATTGTACGACATTGACGCCTGAAGATTCTGGAAAAAATCTTGTTTCATGGGAAAAAAAACATATATACGGGTTTGAAACAACTCCAGTATGAGGTTATTCATTGCCTGTTCCTTTATTTCTCCCCGTCTCTGTTTCTCACTCTCAGTGATAGACGTGTTGAGTTTGGAGGATGTGAAGCAGACTGTGGCCGCAGTGGAGAAGGTCTCTTTAGCACTAAAGACTCTCAGTGATGTGTATGTGATGTCTACGTTTCGTCTGCCTCCTAAACTGGGTGGAGTTCTGCTGGGCCTCTACAACAAGCAGGATAACAAGAAATACCTGGAGGTTGCCATCATGAGCAAAATTAACAAAGGTAATGCAGCGATGACCCATTTTTATCATTATATCATAATCAACTTGCTTTTTCTCTGAAACAACTTTACTTTTCCACTGACATCACTGCATAGGCTGTTGTATAATGTTGACTAACAGCCAAATAGCAG